GTTCTGTTCTAATTCTGTATATTCTCTTCTCTTCTGTATATTCTTCTTCCCTTCCCTTCCCTTCCCTTTCCTATTCCATTCTCTCATTCTATTCTATTCTATTCTATTCCATTCTATTCCATTCTTAAGGGAAAGAGGAAAGACAAAGAAAGAAAAAGAAGGGAAGATGGGAACAGAGCAAAGAAGGAAAAATAAGGAAAGAGGGGAAGGAAGAAGAAAGAAGGAAGAGGGAAGGAAAAAGAGGAAAAGGAAGGAAGGAGATTATGAGGGGGAGGGTCTCAGGGAAGTTCTGCCTTAGCACTTGGCCACCACAGGTGCCCCCGACACGAGTCCCGTGCCACACCCATGCCCCCTGCCACACTCACCATGGCCACGCCACGCCCCCAGCCCTCCCAGGTCAAACACAACCTTGATGTGGCCCTCAAGGAAACCGAGATTGACACCTTGTCAATCTCGGTTTCCTTGTCTAGGGCAGTGATGGCAAACCTTTTGGGCACCAACTGTCGAAAAGGGAGTGCGTGCGTGCTGGGCCGCAACCCGGAAGAGGAGCTGCCCAGGGCGCATGTGCGCACCCGAAAATGAACTTCTGGTTTCCGGTGCGCGCATGCATGCCGGCCAGCTAGTCTTCCAGGTTTCTGGCACGCACGAACACAACACGATCAACTGGCCAGCTCTTCCAGTTTCTGGGACTTGCCGCACTCAATAAGGCCAGCTGATCATCGCGTGCACATGTGCGCCAGAAACCCGGAAGAGGAATGGGTGACGCCAGGCGTGCCAGGCGACATAGCTCCGTGCGCCACTTCAGGCACTCGTGCCATAGGTTCGCCATCGTCTAGGGCCGTGATGGCGAACCTATGGCACGCGTGCCACAGGTGGCACGCGGAGTCATATTGCCTGGCACACCAGCTTAGCTCTGTCAGCTGATTTTCGGCCCTTTTGGGCCCACCAGAATAGGGCCTGGGGGTGGCAGGGGAAGGCCCGTTTTTCTTTCTCCCTGGTTCCAGATCCTCTCTATGCATCTGGGGAGGGTGAAAACAGCCTTCCCCACCCCCTCGGAGGCCCGAAACGGCCCGTTTCGCAACTTCCGGCCTCCGAGGGAGTGGGGAAGGCTGTTTTCGCCCTCCCCAGATGCATAGAAAGGATCTGGAGTCAGGTGAGAAAGAAAAATGGGCCTACCGAGCCATCGCATGCCAGGAATGGGGGGTTGCGCTCGCATGTGCGTGGCGGGGCACATAGAATTATGGGTGTGAGCACATGCATGGGCAAACCTCCCCCACCCCACCCCTTCCTGGCACGCGATGGCAAAAAGTTTAGCCATCACTGGTCTAGGGTTTCCTGCTTGTGTAGAGGGTTAGACTAGAAGGCCTCCAAGGTCCCTTCCAACTCGTTATTCTCTTTCCGTTGGAGTTTCTTCTCTAAAATACTACAACCCAGATTGGTTCCTTCTTTTAAGATCTCGCTTTTTTCCCCCACAATAGGTCTCGGATTCCAGTCTTCCGTCCAGCCCAAGGAGCACCAGCACCACATGACAGGAGGGCCCCGGGGGTGCCGGTGCCCAGCCTCACCACATGCGAAACAAGTACGCCGGTGCCAGTTTGCAACAGAACATCCAGCTCGTTTGATGCGCCTGCTTGTTGCTATCTAGGGAGGGAGGGGAGGAAGGATGGGCAGCAGCTGGATTCCGGGTCTGCTGCAGGAAAGCCGCACCTGTGCTGCACTTAATCCTACGGTGGGACAGTGGATCCGTGTCCCTCGTGCACTACCCCCTCAGGAGATCTGTGAATCTTGGAGGAAACCGAAACTGCTGCTTTGTGGATCCCACTGCTGACACCAATTCTTCCCCTGTCCTGCTTGTTGCACAAATAGTCATGGAGTCAGGACCTTTGGTCAGGACACTTAAAGACCCTTTTAATGTTTACTTTAAAAAAAAAAAAAAGCTAAGCTATTTCCAGCCATATCCTAAACAGGAGGAGGTCTAACCTCTCTGGGTGAATGCACATTAAAATATATATATATATATATATATTACATTAACTGCCTGAAGGGCTTTTTTCTTGAAATAGTTCCGGAGTAACGTGAGAAGTAACAGAAGGTTGAGGATGTTTTTCCTTGCCTGGTTTCAGCCCAGACCTTTGAATCAAGTGTGTTGTTTTCATCAGGTTGTAAAAGCAGTAAAATAATTGCGCCAAACCATCTCCTAAAGTCGCAAGCTATTTTACTAAAAGAAAAAAAAAACACGAGAGGGATTGAGATTCTCGTTCCTCCCCACCCCACCTCAGCCGTAATTCTCGGTAGCCCTGAGGGAGAAAACCAAAATATACCTCCCCCTTCGGCAACCTGATTGCCGAAAACCAGCCAAATTGCAAAATTTATGCCGGAGGGGAGTAGGAAATGCATCTCTTTTTCCTTCTTAGAATTAACCCGTTTTCCAGATTTGCAAACTATCACACTGAGGCAGCTGCACTTTGCAGGCAAAAGCCACCCAAGGATGAAGCCAAGTTTAACCCAAGTTTGCCATGCCAAGCAAAGGCAGGTGTTTGGTTTGCCGGGAGAGGGGAGAGAGAGAAAGACAGGGACAGAAAGAGAGGGAGAGACAGAGAAAGAAAGACCTTGAGAAAGAGAGAAAAAGACACAGAAAGACAGAAGGAGACAGAGAGACACAGACGGCGAAAGAGAGTGAAAAATAGAGAAAAAGAGAGAGAGACAGAGACAAAGACAGAAAGAGAAAGAGAAAGAAAGACTGAGGAAAAGAGATAGAGACAAAGAGAGAAAAAGAGAAAGAGAGAGAAAGAACGACGACTGAGGAAGAGAGAGAGACAAAGAAAGAGAGAAAAAAACAAGAGACAGAAAAAGAGTGAAAGAGAAAGAGAGAAAGACTGAGGAAGAGACAGAGAGAAAAAGACAGTAAAAAATAGAGAAAAAGACAGAGAGACAGAGACAAAGACAGAAAAAGAAAGACTGAGGAAAAGAGACACAGAGACACAGAAAGAGAGAAAAAGACAGATAGTGTGAAAAAGAGAAAGGCAGAGAAACAGACAGACAGAAAGAAAAAGAAAGACTGAGGAAGAGACACACAGAGATACAGAGAGAGAGAAAAAGACAGAGAAAGAGTGAAAAATAGACAAAAAGACAGAGACAATGAGAAAGAGAGACAGAAAGAGACAAGAGAGAGTGAGAGCAGCTTTTCATTCATATTTCATTTCTCTGCTTAACGTGTCAGCTGATGAAACAGGCATGGATTATCACCTGCACACACGCACACCCACCCATGCACACTTCCGCCTGGTACTTTGCCCCTGTGCAAAACTCTCATTTTCTTTGCACACAGAGACCGTGTGACGGATCCAATCCTCTCTCCCCACCCCCTACCCCAAGGCTTCCAGAAGTCTCATGTTTAACTATCCGAAACCAGAGAAATTGGCCCAGCAGGTTGCAAAGGAACGTGTGGCGCAGGTGGGCCTGACTGTGTGAGTCCCCACGTCGAGCAAGACCGGATGGAGGGAACCCCGAATTTCCCACTCCGTTTCAAAACTGGGTTGGGGGACCAGAGTTGCAGACACTTCCAGCCTCTTCCTTGCAGTCTCTTTGAAGGCATCAAGCTGTCCAAACGTGGTGTGGGGGGGGGGAAAGAAGAACAGGGCGTGGGGCAGAGTGTCAGTCCAATTTCCTGACCCCCAACTTCATAGGTCCCTTGGCTGCCTTTTTCTCGGCTCGCCGAGCTTCTATTTCCTGGCGCCTCTCTTCTCGTTTCTTCCGGGCCAGCTCCGTCTTGCTGGGACCTGCAGATCCGAAAAGGAAAGAGAAAGTGGCCTGGGGGGGCTGCTGACTCCATCCGAGCGTAGCCAGGGCAGAGAGGAATAGAAGAGAAATAAAGAAGAGGAGAGGAGAGGAGAAGAGAATTAGAAGAGAAAGAAGAAAAGAGAAATTGATGGGTATTCTAGTCTGAAGCTCTTGGACAAAGGCACATTGGATGGACTGATGCTCTCTGATCCAGCTTTCAGATTTGATCAAATAACATCTTCCCAGTGTGCCCAATGGCAACGAGAAGAGAAGAGAAAAGAGAAGAGAAGAGAAGAGAAGAGAAGAGAAGAGAAGAGAAGAGAAGAGAAGAGAAGAGAAGAGAAGAGAATAATATATAGAATGGAAAAGGAGAAGAGAAAATAGAAGAGAGAAGAGAAGATAGAATAGAATAGAATAGAATAGAATAGAATAGAATAGAATAGAATAGAATAGAATAGAATAGAATAGAATAGAATAGAATAGAATAATATATAGAATGGAAAAGGAGAAGAGAAGAGAAAATAGAAGAGAAGAGAAAAAGAAGAGAAAATAGAATAGAATAATATATAGAATGGAAAAGGAGAAGAGAAAATAGAAAAGAAGAGAAAAAGAAGAGAGAATAGAATAGAATAATATATAGAATGGAAAAGGAGAAGAGAAGAGAAAAAATAGAAGAGAAAATAGAATAGAATAGAATAGAATAGAATAGAATAGAATAATATATAGAATGGAAACGGAGAAGAGAAAATAGAAGAGAGAAGAGAAGAGAGAAGAGAATAGAATAATATATAGAATGGAAGAGAAAAGAAGAGAAAATAGAATAGAATAAAATAGAATAGAAAGAAGAGAGAATAGAACAGAACAGAATAATATATAGAATGGAAAAGGAGAAGAGAAGAGAAAAAATAGAAGAGAAGAGAAAATAGAATAGAAGGAAGAGAGAATAGAATAGAATAGAATAGAATAATATATAGAATGGAAAAGGAGAAGAGAAGAGGAAATAGAAGAGAAGAGGAAAAGAAGAGAAAATAGAATAGAATAAAATAGAATAGAAAGAAGAGAGAATAGAACAGAATAGAATAAATATATAGAATGGAAAAGGAGAAGAGAAGAGAAAAAATAGAAGAGAAGAGAAAATAGAATAGAAGGAAGAGAGAATAGAATAGAATAGAATAGAATAGAATAATATATAGAATGGAAAAGGAGAACAGAAGAGGAAATAGAAGAGAAGAGGAAAAGAAGAGAAAATAGAATAGAACAGAACAGAACAGAACAGAACAGCTTTATTTGGTGTGTGATTAGACACCCAAAGAATTTGTCTCCCATGCAGGAACTCTGATGTCCAAAGCAACATCATCATCATCATCATCATCATGAAATTGCAGCTTCCTGCAATAACCCCAGCGGAACTGCAAAAGACTGCGCTACTCGGAACAACGTACATTTTAAGAAGATACCTGGTTGATACCTAGGATGCTGGCAGCAGCCCGTATCGACCATCAGCGCCAGTCAATGATATTTGTGATACATTTTTAAATGTTCAGTTGACTGAGTTTCATGTTTAATGAATAAAAGTTAATAATAATAAGGATAATAATAATACAGGTAGTCCTCCAGTTACAACAGTTCATTTAGTAACTGAGGTTACAACGGCACCTAGGACCGTTTTTCTGATACTGTTGCAGCCTCCCCAGGGTCATGTCATCAAAATCCAGTCGCTTGGCAACTGACTCGAATTTATGACGCCTTGCAGTACCCCGGGGTCACGTGATCAGCGTTTATGATCTTCTGACAAACAAAGTCAGTAATGGGGAAGCCAAATCCACTTAACAAGCGTGGCAAGAAAAGTCTTGGTGGCACAGCAGTTAGGATGCAATTTAGGATGCAGGATTGCAGGTTAAATCTGCCCACTGCCAGCAGTTCAATCCTGACCAGCTCAAGGTTGACTCAACTTTCCGTCCTTCCGAGGTTGGTAAAATAAGGACTCGGATTGTTGGGGGCAAGAGGCTGATTCTGTAAACGGCTTAGAAAGGGCTGGAAAACACTGTAAAGCGGTACATAACTCTTAAGTGCTGTTGCTATTGTCCTTCCTTCCTTCCTTCCTTCCTTCCTGTCTGTTAGAATGCAGGATTGCAGGCTATTTCTGCCCATTGCCAGTGGTTCAATCCTGACTGGTTCAAGGTTGACTCAGCCTTCCATCCCTCTGAGGTGGATAAAATGAGGACCCAGTTTGTTGGGGGCAAGAGGCTGACTCTGTAAACTGCTTAGAGAGGGCTGTAAAAGCATTATAAAGCAGTATATAAGTCTAAGTGCTATTGCTATTGTTTCTTTTCTTCTTCTTTCTTTCCTTCCTTCCGTTCCTCCTTCCTTCCTTCCTTCCTCCCTCCCTCCCTCCCTCCCTTCCTGTTAGAATGCAGTATTGCAAGCTAACTCTGTCTACTGCCAGAGTTCAATCCTGATCGGCTCAAGGTCGACTCAGCCTTCTGTCCTTCCGAGGTGGATAAAATGAGGACCCAGATTGTTGGGGGTAAGAGGCTGACTCTGTCAACCGCTTAGAGAGGGCTGTAAAAGCACCTTGAAGCACTATATAAGTCTAAGTGCTATTGCTACTGTCCTTCCTTCCTTCCTTCCTTCCTTCCTTCCTTCCTTCCTTCCTTCCTTCCTTCCTCCCTCCCTCCCTCCCTCCCTTCCTTCCTGTTAGAATGCAGGATTGCAGGCTAATTCTGTCCACTGCCAGTGGTTCGATCCTGACTGGCTCAAAGTTGACTCAGCCTTCTGTCTTCCGAGGTGGATAAAATGAGGACCCAGATTGTTGGGGGCAAGAGGCTGACTCTGTCAACTGCTTAGAGAGGGCTGGAAAGCACTGTGAAGCGGTATATAAGTCTAAGGGCTACTGCTATTGCTAAAACAGGACAAAACTCACTTAACAAATGTCTCAACAACAGAACGTTTGGGCTCCGTTGAGGTCATATGTTGAGGACTATCTGTACTACATCCTTACTACACGGATAAATACACTGATGGGAAAGCACCGTACCTTGATCGGAGTCCAGCGTGGCCCAGTTTTCCTCAAAGGTCCATTCACGCAGGGAGTCGGCATTTTTCTAAGGAAACACAAAATATACAAGTTTAAAGGCTGGGCTGGCATTTGTACCACACTACAATTTGGGGTGGTGATCCGGTCAATCTTTAAAAAAAGAAGTTGAATTCTCGTGTTTCTAGTCCCTGCGTTGTGGGCTGTTGTCTGCCAGTCCTTCCAGCAGCCGAATCAGAGGAAGAGGAGGAGGAGGCATAGGAGTCAAGGCAACCTGGGAGCTCCGAGGGGGAGGAGGGAATGGAGGTGGCAGAGAGAGAGACAGAGACAGGGGGAGCCTGGGCCATCCATCAACCCTCAGATGGAGAGTCACCAGACCCCAGGTCTGGAGGTGGCTGATGAGGAAGAGGAGGAGCAGCTGGGTCCAGTGCCTGACGTGTGGAAGTGCAGAAGACAGAGGAGAGGAGAGCAGTGGAAATCTATGGGCCGGTCCTTGGGACGGAGGAGCCACCGCTGCTAGCGAAGCCCCACCCAACTCTGGGAATAAAAGGCAGGGGGCGGAGATTTTATTTATTTATTTATTTTATTTATTTATTCAATTTATATGCCGCCCCCCTCCGAAGACCGAGGGCGGCTCACAATATACTCAAAAAATCACTATAAAAACACATTAAAAACATTAAAACCCATTCACACCATCCATGGCCGGATCTCGTCAGATCGCAAGAGCGAGATCAACGGCCCCAGGCCTGCCGGAAGAGCCAGGTCTTCACCGCTTTCCGGAAGGCCAATAGGGTGGGGATGGTCCGGACCTCAGGAGGTAACTGGTTCCAGAGAGCTGGGGCAGCCACAGAGAAGGCCCTTCCCCGCGGGCCCGCCAACCGGCATTGTTTAGCTGATGGGACCCGGAGGAGACCAACTCTCTGGGATCTTACCGGTCGCTGGGAGCTATGCGGCAGAAGGCGGTCTCGAAGATTTATTTATTTATTTATTGAATTTCTATACCGCCCTACTCCCGAAGGACTCAGGGCGGTGTACAGCCATGAAATAAAACACATAGATATACAAAATTTAAAATCAAATAAAATGAATTAAATAAATTTGGCTGAATTAATACCCATAATTTAAAATACCCATTAATTTTAAAATACATTAAAAATTTAAAATTTACACTTAAAAGGGAGAAGATTTAGGCGAGGCCCGCTTGATGAAATAAAAGCGTCTTCAACTCGTGGCAGAAGGTGCGCAGATCTGGGATCCTCCGTATCTCTGGGGGGAGCTCATTCCAGATCGTCGGTGCCCCCACAGAGAAGGCTCTCCCCCTAGGGGCCGACAGCCGACAGTGTTTGGCCGACGGCACCTGGAGGAGCCCTTCTCTGTGGGAGCGTACTGGTCGGTGGGAGGCTGTTGGTGGTAGTAGGCGGTCCCATAGATAACCAGGTCCTAAGCCATGGAGCGCTTTAAAGGTGGTAACCAGAACCTTGAAGCGCACCCGGAAGACCACCGGGAGCCAGTGCAGCTCGCGCAGGAGAGGTGTTACATGGGAGCTCCATGTTGCTCCCATAACCATCCGCGCGGCCGCACTCTGCGCCAGTTGGAGCCTCCGGGTGCACCTCAAGGGGAGCCCCATGTAGAGAGCATTACAATAGTCCAGACGAGAGGTGACGAGGGCATGAGTGACTGTGCGTAGGGAGTCCCAATCTAGAAAGGGACGTCTAGAAGATAGCCTGGCCCTGAGCCATGTAGGGCTTTAAAGGTAATAACCAACACCTTGAATTGTGCCCGGAGACCAATAACCAATGACCAGTGCAGCTCGCAGAGAATTGGTGTAATGTGGGTGTACCTAGGTGCACCCACGACAGCTCTCGGAGAACTCTCGGAGAGGAGAGCAGTGGAAATCTATGGGCCGGTCCTTGGGACGGAAGAGCCATTGCTGCTGGTGAAGCCCCACCCTAGTTCTGGGGATAAAAGGCAGGGGGCGGAGATGAATAGATGGGGTAGAAAACTATTCAACCTCTGGCCAGCCAGACTTGTTAGCCTACGGTGAGAGAGAAACTTTTTGCCGGGGCTGCTGGCGCTCCTAATAAAAGAATATTTTTTGAGTTCACACTTTGTTGTGTTTTGGGAACTGGGTGAGAACACCCTGTGGTTCAGCAAAAAGTTGATTTTAACCCCTATTTTATCCAGGCAAAGATATTCACTACCTAGGTTCCCACATGGAGTAATTTAACCTGGGTTTACTGAATGAAACTCAAGTGGCTGCATCTGCACATCACGCTAAGCAAAGAAACAGGGTTTACTATCCACCATGGCTAACTTCACAAAGGAGGCTGGTGAAGCTACGTGCCAAACCAGGATTAACCAAACACCACGGTTATATTCGTGGAATAGGGACGTCCACACTGATGGATCGTACGATGGGCTTTAGATGAAAACCTTGTTTGTCACGTGTTGAAATACAGGCTGAGGCTGTAACTGACCGGACACATACAGACTGGGTGAAACCAGGCTTAAGAGCAGTGACTGTGAGAGGGATCTTGGAGTCTTAGTGGACAACCAGTTAAATAGGAGCCAGCCCTGTGCAGTGGCAGCCCAAAAAGCCAATGCAATCCTAAACTGCATTAACCTCTGGATACAACCAAGATCAAGGGAGGTACTGATACCACTCTATAAAGCCTTAGTAAGGCCACACCTAGAGTCCTGCATCCAGTTTTGGTCACCGCACTATAAAAAAGAGGTTGAGACTCTAGAAAAAGTGCACAGAAGAGCAACCAGGATGATGAGGGGACTGGAGGCTCAAACATACGATGAACGGTTGCAGGAACTGGGCCTGGATAGTCTGGTGAAGAGAAGGACCAGGGGAGATAGGAGAGCATCTTCCAGTATTTGAGGGGCTGCCCCAGAGAGGAGGAAGGGGGTCCAGCTATTCTCCAAAGCCCCTGAAGGCCAGACAAGGAAGAATGGATGGAAACTGATCAAGGAGAGATTCAACCTGGAAATAAGGAGCAATTTTCTGACGGTGAGAACCATCAACCAGTGGAACAGAAGCTGCCTTCAGAAGTTGTGGGAGCTTCATCCCTGGAGGCTTCCAAGAAGAGCCTGGACTGCCCTCTGTCAGAAATAGTGTAGGGTCTCCTGCTTGGGCAGGGGGTTGGACTAGATGACCTCCAAGGTCCCTTCCGACTCTGTTTATCTGTATCTAACTAACTTCATGTGTGATGTGAATCCAGACAACCAGGCTAGTCATCCATCCCAAACCCATTCTGGCTCAGAGCCAGGTGAATTACCCAGCCTGTTTCCTTCCCTTATGCCACTTTCAGCAATACAGATGGTCCTTGGTTCATTTAGCGACAATCCATGATGAACCTAACCATGGTTTAATCCACCCAACACAGGCTGCATCCCCAGGGCCGCCACGCACCTGCCTCTCCGATGTTGGCTTCCCAGCCAGACAGGAAAACGGATCGGATTTGTCCCCGGAGCCCACGCTCCCCCAGTTATAATCGCTCGCCGGTTTGATGTCTTGATGGGCTGCAGCTGCTTTGGTGCCGAGGCTGGAGGGGAGCGGGTCCGTGGGGGTAGCCGCCCCCTTTTTGGGGCTCCAGGACGGCTCCAGATCCCAGGCAGAGCTGTTCCAGTCTGAGTCCTGCCTGTCGGAAGCTGTGGTGGTAACCTACGAAAGAGAAGACAAAGCAGCAAAATCTAGAGAAATGTTTAAAACGGGAAGTTTCTAGTCCTCATGAAAGAGCAGAAACTTCTGGAACAAAGAAACAAGGGGGATTTCCTATATTGTTTCCAGAGGTTTGAGGGGGACACTAGCCCCACAAATGCCTTGTTATCCCTGGGACATTGCCCCCAATGTCCTCCAACCTCACTCTAATGAAAATGAGCCAAGGCTGATTTTGGGGATTGACGTTGGCCCATCCAGATTTCCCACCCACCGTCCAGCTTTCCTACGGGGCGTTTTTTTGTACTTCCCAGTCTAGCCTACTGCTGTGGCTCACCACGTGGTCTCCCATCCCAATCCCAATCTTCTGAACCTGAGCAGGGCTGGTCCCACTCTGCCATCTGCTGGTATGTCATTCTAACTACCGTGTTGCCCTGAAAATAAGAATCTGTCTTATATTTTTTTTGAACCACGAAATAAGCGCTTGGCTTTATTTTCCGGGGGGTCTTATTATTTTGGGGGGGCTCCTCTTGCTGTCTTACCTGATTTCCAGCTCTCTCCCCTTAACCCTAACCAGAGGAAATGGCGGGGACCGGCGGCACATGTGGTTAAATATTTTCAGGGAGAGCTTATTTTCGAGGAGGGCTTATTTTTAGGGAGGGGCTTATTTTCGGGGAAAGCTTTTTTCAGGGAGGGCTTATTTTCGGGGAGGGCTTATATTTTTTCAGGGAGGGCTTATTTTCGGGGAGGGCTTATTTTTAGAAAGGGCTTATTTTAGCGCATGCGCTCAAAAGTCCGATTGGGCTTATTATCTGGGGAGGTCTTATTTTCGGAGAAACACAGCACACCTGTGGAGATCGAGGAAGCCAAAGCAGGGAAGTTTGAGGCAGCCTGAAGGAGACTTACTGTCCTACTGCCGAAAGTCTGGGCCGGTTCCGACCAGCCAGAGCTGTTCCAGTCATCTGGGCTGGGCTGCCTCTTCGGCTGCTCCGTTTCTTGCTGTTGACACAGAGAGGAAAACGGACATTCACTTATGTAGAACCCACAGCCACCGCGGTTCACTTGCCATTCCCTTCCAAAACCTTTCTCTCTCTCAAACTTCTATCCATCGTCTGTCTGTCTGTCTGTCTGTCTGTCTGTCTATCCATCCATCCATCCATCCATCCATCTATCATCTATCTATCATCTATCTATCCATCTATTTATCCATCTATTTATCTATTTATCTTTCTATCATCTATCTATCCATTTATCTATCCATTTATCTATCTTTCTATCATCTATCTATCCATCTATTTATCTATCTATCTATCTATCTATCTATCTATCTATCTATCATCTATCTGTCATCTATCTATCTATCAAGCTATCATCTACTGTATCTATCTATCCATCCATCTATCATCTATCATCTATCTATCCATCTATTTATCTATCCATCTATTTATCTATCTATCTATCATCTATCTGTCATCTATCATCTATCTATCAAGCTATCATCTACTGTATCTATCTATCCATCCATCCATCCATCCATCCATCATCTATCTATCTATCTATCTATCTATCTATCTATCTATCTATCATCTATCTATCTATCTATCTATCTATCTATCTATCTATCCATCCATCCATCCATCCATCCATCTATCATCTATCTATCCATCTATTTATCTATCTATCTATTCATCTATCATCTATCTATGTATGTATCTATCTTTGTCTAGCTAGACCCGTTCCAGTCCGGTTTCAAGCCTGGGTAAAGCATGGAAACGGCATTGGTCGCATTGGTTGATGATCTCTGGAGGGCTTGGGACAGGGGTTGTTCCTCTGTCTTGGTCCTGTTAGATCTCTCAACGGCTTTTGATACCATCGACCATGGTATCATGCTGCGCCGGCTGGAGGGGCTGGGGGTTGGGGGCACCGTATTACGGTGGTTCTCCTCCTTTCTCTCTGACCGGTCGCAGTTTGTGTTGGCAGGGGGGCAGAAGTCGTCCTTGAGGCGGCTTATGTATGGGGTGCTGCAGGTGTTGGTCCTCTTGCCCCTCCTGTTCAACATTTATGTGAAGCCACTGGGTGAGATCATCCGTGGTTTTGGGGTGCAGTTCCATCAGTACGCTGATGACACTCAGCTGTACATCTCCACCCCGGACCACCCCAATGATGCCCTTGAAGTGATGTCCCGGTGCCTGGAGGCCATGCGGATCTGGATGGGGAGAAACAGACTCCGGCTCAACCCATCCAAGACTGAGTGGCTGTGGCTCCCAGCATCCCGATATAGCCAGCTGGTGCCATTGCTGGCTATTGGGGGCGAGTCATTGGCCCCCACAGAGAGGGCTCGCAACTTGGGTGTCCTGGAAGCGCAGCTGTCTTTAGAAGAGCATATGACAGCCGTGACCATCTATCTATCTACCTTTTTTTTTTTAAATTGGTTGTACACCGCCCTGAGTCCTTCGGAAGAAGGGCGGTATAGAAATAAAATTATTATTATTATTATTATTATTATTATTATTATTATTATTATTATTATTATCTTTGAATCTATCTATCTATCTATCTATCTATCCATCCATCCATCTATCATCTATCTATGAATCTACCTATGTATCTATGTATCTATCTTCTATCATCTCTGTCTCTCTCTCCCATCTATTTATCATCCATTAATTTATTAATAGAACATATTCATGAATAGTCCTCCCCTTATGACCGTTAGGGAGTCTACCCATGACAGTCATGATGGTTGTAAAAGACGGTGATCATGTGACCAGATCTGATTTACTGCTATGCTTGTTAAGCAAATCACTGCAGTTCTTAAGTGAATCACATGGTCATTAAGCAAATCCGGCATCACCCATTGGCTTTGCTGGTGAGAAGCTGGTTAGGAAGGATACAAATGATAATCATGGGGACGAGGCAACCGTCATAAATACATGCCAGTTGCCACCTGCCTGCATTCAACGGTCACTAAGTGGGAAAAATGGCCATAAGTCACTTTTTTTCAGTGCTTTTATAACTTCAAACGCTCACTAAACGAATAGCTGTAAGTCGAGGAATGTCAGCCAATGAATTGTGGCAATTTAGCATCTCTGATCCATCTCAGCTCTTCAGCTCCCGGACCAAGAGGCATTTTAAGTTGCCTCCCTACCCCCACCCCAGCCCCACCGTGACCTTTTACCTCCAAGCTGCTCCAGTCTTCATCATCCCATTGGTCGGCCGCACTCTCCTCTTCCCCCACCTCCTCCTCCACCTCCCACCCGCTGGCAGGGCTGGGAGCTGCTCCCTCGGAAGCAGGAGGGGGGCCGGGACCTAGAGATACACAGGGAGATCAAGGCTTTAGACACAGAGAGATCAAGAGATACTAGTAAGTAGAGAGATAGACAGACAAATATATAGATGATAGATAAATGTTTTAGATATAGGTAGGTATATACCTATATACCTAGGTATATAGGTATATACCTACCTATAGATAAATAGATAGGTAGGTAGGTAGGTAGATAGATAGACAGACAGACAGACAGATAGATGGATGAGAGAGAGATGATGGATAATAGAAGATAGATAGATAGATAGATAGATAGATAGATAGATAGATAGATAGAATAGATAGATACAAAGATAGAAAGATGGATGAGGGAGAGATAATGGATAATGGATAATAGAAGATAGATCGATAGAGAAAGAGAGAGAGATAAATAGGTAGGTAGGTAGGTAGTAGGTAGACAGATGGATGAGAGATGATGGATAATAAAGAGAGAGATAGAAAGATAGATATAGAGATAGAGATAGATAGATAGAAAGATAGATGGATGAGGGAGAGATGATGGATAATAGAAGATAGATAGATAGATAGATAGATACATACATACATACATACATACATAGATGGATAGGGAGAGATGATGGATAATAGATAGATAGATAGCTAGATAGCTAGATAGCTAGATAGCTAGCTAGCTAGCTAGATAGATAGAAGATAGATAGATAGATAGATAGATAGATAGATAGATAGATACAAAGAAAGATGGATGAGGGAGAGATAATGGATAATGGATAATAGAAGAGAGAGAGAGAGAGAGAGATAAATAGGTAGGTAGGTAGGTAGACAGATGGATGAGAGATGATGGATAATAGATATAAAGAGAGAGATAGAAAGATAGATACAGATATAGATATAGATAGATAGAAAGATAGATGGATGAGGGAGAGATGATGGATAATAGAAGATAGATAGATAGATACATACATACATACATACATAGATACACAGAGATGGATGAGGGAGAGATGATGGATAATAGATAGATAAATAGATAGATAGATAGATAGATAGATAGATAGATAGATAGATAGATAGATAGATAGACAGACAGAAAGATAGATACATAGATAGATAGATTAGATAGATAGAAAGATAGATAGAAAGATAGATAGAAAGAGAGATAGATATAGATAAATAGATAGAGAGAGAGAGAGAGAGAGAGAGAGAGAGAGACAGACAGACAGACAGACAGACAGACAGTCAGTCAGTCAGTGGCAGGCAGGCAGATATAGATGTAGGTAGGTTGGTAGGTAAGTAAATAGATAGAAACAGACAGACGGACAGATATAGATGTAGGTTGGTTGGTTGGTAGGTAAGGTAGGTAGGTAGATACAGGCAGACAGAGAGACAGAGAGATGATACATAAAATGTTTTAAATATACAGGCAGTCCTCAACTTATGACCACAATTTGCCAATTGAGCCAAAATTTGCACTGCTAAGCAAGGACAAGTTGTTAAGGGAGTTAACCCCATTTTACGAACCTCTTTTGCCACGGTTGTTAAGTGAAACACTGCCACTGTTAAGTCAGTGACATGGTTATGAAGTGAACCTGGCTTCCCCGTTGACTTTGCTCGTTAGAAGGTCGCAAAAAGGGATCATGTGACCCCGGGACATTGCGGCCGTCATAAATACCCGTTGCCCAGCGCCCAAATTCTGATCACGTGACCACGGGGATGCTGCTGCAACGGCCGTAATTCTGTGGAAAGTGGCCACAAGTCACTTCTTTTCAATGCCGTTGTAACACTAAACGAAGAGTTATCCCTGTATTGCAAAATGGGCCCCGTTCACACAGACGAGGCAGGCTTCCCGAGGCCTCCTCAGCATTCCAAGCCGGGATAAATTGGTAGGCTCCCCAGGGTGGGCTTGGCAGCCCCTCTGACCTGATTTGGGGGCCTCCGACGGCTTCTTGACGGGGGCGTCCTCAGCCGCCTGTTCTGCTCCCACCGTCGTTCCAGCGTTTGTCCGGATCAGCTTTGACGTCAGCGACGAGACCCCCGTCACAGCCCAGCCGGCCCAACTGGCGGCTGAGCCCACCCCGGGACTGATAGAAGCAGCCTGGACATCTTTTTCTAAAGAGAGAGAGAGAGAAAGGGCAGGATCCTGGGTTCAAGTCACACCGTTGTAATGCCAGGAAGTGCTTTTTGAGCAGTGGGTTGGACTAACAGGGTAACAAGAGTCGGGAGGGACCTTTGAGGTCTTCTAGTCCAACCCCCTGCTCAGGGAGACCAAGGGTTGTCTAGTCTCTTCTTAACCTGGGTTTATGTGGGAATCTTCCAATCTGGCTTTCCTATGCTGTAACCAATTAGCTTTAGTAAAAGTATACCTTTCGCTGCAAATGGGAGTCGAGGGTGTTTCTTCCCTAGATGTCCAAGTTCGGACAGGCCTGACACTGGGAGTCTCCTACTAGATTACAAGGCTCTGCAAACATGGCAAATTTAAGACGTGTGGACTTCAATCTCCAGAATTCCCTAGCCAGCATTGAAGACACCCCCCCCCCAACAAGGTTCCTTCCAGCCCTAGAACTCTATGATTCCAGCGAACCAAATCCACACAGCCCAAATATATTGGGCAGGGCCTCGCATTCTAAGCAGGAGGCGTGGCCAGAGCTCAAAGCAGGAAAGAGGTGGGCGGGGTTTGCAAAGTGGGCCAAGCCGGGCATACAATCCTCGGCCGCCAGTTGCCCACCCTGCTTTAGACAAACCACCAGGCCCGGTGTCCAAACCCAACTCCTCGGCACCTATTGAGTTGTCAGGATGGTCTCACCAAGCTCTGAGAGCTGATCCGGATCTTCTGAAACCGTCTCCAGTTTAGTCATGAAACTGCGAATGGCTTTGAAGGCCTGACGAAAAAGAGCGAAGAGAGAGACACAAAAGAGACACAATCACAAGCTTCCCCGTGGCGCTACAAACTATAGGTAGTCCTCGACTCGTTTAGTGACCGTTCAAAGTTGCAACGGCACTGAAAAGTCAATGCGGAAGAAGCCGGATTCACTTAAGGTCATAAAATCAGGCCTCAGACATTAGCAACCCCATTGCTTAGCAACGGACGTTCCAGTCCTAATTCTGGTCGTAAGTCGAGGATTGCCTCTGTTAGAAGAGCCTCCCCTTTCATTTGTGGCTCCAATGCACCGAAAGATGCCTGCATTTTTATTTTTCATTTATTAAATTCATATTCCACCTTCTAAGTAAGGTGCGTCTGGGCGTCCTTTTCCCGGCGTCCTTCCCTCGGATCGCTCAAGGGCACATCTGTAGGGCAAAGGTTCACTTGGTGGCAAAACACCTGCCCTACAGGCGTGCACCTGTGCAGCATGAGGCAAGGACGGAGCAAGTGACTGGGGGAACTGGATCGGCCAATGAAGGAGAAGATTCGTAGCTCAGGGTTGAAAGGAGGGGTCCTTGCTGCTCTCTGAGCTTGCTTGTTTTCATGCAGACGTCTTACTCCCAACCTAGGTAACATCATCAGTGCTAGAAGGGAGTGGGGTGTGCAGAGGAGGAGGAGGAAGAGAAGGAGGAGGAGGGAGAGGAGGAGGAAGAGGAAGAAGACTGTGGGGTCCTTGCTGCTCTCTGACCTTGCTTGTTTTCATGCAGACGTCTTACTCCCAACCTAGGTAACATCATCAGTGCTAGAAGGGAGTGGGGTGTGCAGATAAGAGGAGGAAGAGGAGGAGGAGGAAGAGAACTGTGGGGTCCTTGGGGCTCTCTGAACTTGCTTATTTTCTTGCAGACGTTTCCTGACCAACCTAGGGAACTTCATCAGTGCTAGTAAGGAGTAACGTAACAGCAAACACCACTTCTTACTAGCCCTGATGATGTTCCCTAGTTTGGTCATGAAACGTCCACAGAAAACAAGCAAGCTCAGAGAGCCCCAAGGATCCCTCAACTGGATCTGCTTCCCCCCGTGGACTCAATTCTCTGCCCACCCTTCAGAGACCTCCGAGGGGAGTTTGGCCCCCAACCACCCCACCCCCCACCCCACCCCTCACCTGGTCCCGGACAGTTTTTTCGGGGTCCACCGTCAAGGTGCAGAGCACTGGCAGGATTTTGAAGGCGCACTCTTTGATGGAGAAGAAATTGTGGGTGGCGGCGAAGCCCAGGACCCCGGCTGCCCGCGAGGGGGCAAAGGGGTCCTTGGTGGCCCGACTGAAGGCCGAGATAAGCACGTTCTGCCTCGTCTGTAAAGAGAACACCCAGCAAACAACTTGAGCTCACCTGTAATAAGAAATCGCAGCAAAAAAAGGGGACTCAGGATTCTGGCCCAGGCTGCCTCTTCCGCCCCCAAAGTGCCTTCTTCTTGACCTAACTTGCTGGGTTGGCAACATATAAACCATCATTGTAAAGACTGCTGTGCTGCTGTATTGCGTCATACTGTGTCCCGATTGGTTAGCTCTGTAGCCAATGCCCTTAAGAGGGAGCTAGAAACATGGTTTGTTTCTCTTTGCTGATCGTGACTGCCCTTTACTGCTTTTTGCTACTGTTTGCAAATACAGAAGAACTGATAACTGTGTATGACTACGACGACTGGTAAGAAGACTCTGTTATTGGATTATCCCTGGACTATTGTTTTACTATCTCCTGCTTTATCTGTGTATGACCTGGACTGTTTATTGGACTGTGCCTTATTACTATTTCCTGAAAGTAAACACAACTCAGTGTATCTGTGTGTGGGCTGTGTTATTTCGTAACTACTCTCAATCGCTTTCATGTGCACACCCTTGCTACTCAAGGGTTGCGCTGCAAATTACTTAACACAGGTATTTGACACAGGTAGTCCTCGACTTACAACAGTTCATTGAGTGACCGTCCAAAGTTGCAACGGCGCTGAGAAAAAAATGGCTTGGGACCATTTTTTCAGAGTTACAAACCTTTGCAGCCTCTCCCTGGTCACCTCATCAAAATTCAGAGGCTTGGCAACTGTCTCCTATTTATGACGGTCGCCGTGTCCCCGGGGTCACGGGATCCCCTTTTGCGACCATCTGACCAGCCAACTCAACGGGGGAGAATAGAGATTCGCTTAACAACCGTGTTACTAATTTAACAACTGCAGTGATTCACTTAGAAACGGTGGCAAGAAAGGTTGTTAAAACTCACTTAATGACCATCTCGCTGAGCAACAGAATGGTGGGCTCAGTTGTGGTCGTAGCTCAAGGACTACCTGTATATCAGCAAGCCCATCGTTCAAGGCTTAAAACCCTGGTACAAAGAACTGTGGCATTGCACTAAGCAGGGGACTAAATGACCTCTAAGGTCCTTTTCCCGTTTCATGATTCTAATCTTAATTCATATTTAAACCATTGATCATTCACATATTACAGGTGATTCTCAAATTATGACCAGTCCTTTAGTGACCTTTCAAAATTAGAACGGCAATGAAAAACGGGAACTGATGTCTGGTCCTTACACTTACAACCAATCGAGCATCACTGCGCTAAAGCCACAGCGATTGGTACCCAGGATGGATGTACAACTCCGCAGTGTCCAGAATTCACGTCATCACTGTCTAGGTCACTGGGGAAGCCAGCAGGGAACTTCCCAAGTCGCGATCATGTGATAGCTTACTCAATGACCACTGTGCTCCACTCAATGACCATAGAGGTTCATTTAACAACCATGGCAAAAAAAAGTTTGCAAAATCAGGGGCAATCCTGCAATGCCTTATTTAAGCACTGCAACAAATTTTCCAGTCCCTGTTGTGGTCATAAGTCGAGGACTTCCTGTCTGTGATCCTGTGTCCAGTTTCCCACATCCTAATTCCCAGAGCCAACTCTCTCTAAAACACAAGCATGTCCAACCTTGGCTACTTGAAGACTTCTGGACTTCAAAATCCCAGAATTCCCCAGCCAGCTTTAGCTACTTGAAGACTTCTGGACTTCAACTCCCAGAATTCCCCAGACAGCTTTAGCTACCTGAAGACTTCTGGACTTCAACTCCCAGAATTCCCCAGCCAGCCTTGGCTACTTGAAGACTTCTGGACTTCAACTCCCAGAATTCCCCAGCCAGCCTTGGCTACTTGAAGACTTCTGGACTTCAACTCCCAGAATTCCCCAGCCAGCCTTGGCTACTTGAAGACTTCTGGACTTCAACTCCCAGAATTCCCCAGCCAGCCTTGGCTATTGAAGTCCACAGGTCTTAAAATGGCCACGGTTGGACATCCCTGCTCTAAAGCTTCTCAGCTGCCCACCTCCTGGTCTGAAAGCCCCCCTCTGCTTCCTTGAAGCCATGCCCACTCACGCTGGCACTGAGGTATGGCCCAATCTTGCCCAGGCACACGGTGGTGTTGCAGCGAATGGGGCCTTGGTCGTCGCGGGCCTGGAGGCGAGCGAAGTGCTTCATGAGTTCCACGTTCAGGTTGGCCTCGTTCAACTTGGGAGCCAGGAGCAGCATGGACTGTGGGAGAGACACAAAACAGAAGCCCCTTAGCGAGAGGCCGTAGGGCCGGCAAGCAAGGGCAGGAAGAACGAGCCCCAGGGCGAGGATGCTTGGAGGTGGGGATAGCTTGGGGGAAAGAGCCCGGTCACTCCCTGGACGGAGAGTGGATATTAAGAGACAGCAACACTGGGATCACTTTGTGGTCTTTTTTCCAACCAAAAAAAAGATTCAGAGGGGAAAGTATAGATGACCTCACTCACTTCAGCATCAGGCTCCTCCTCCCTCCCATCCCCCCCATTATGATGTAAGACGGTCCCCCTCCCCAAAAACACGCCTAGGGGATTGTGACTCCCAACAGATAAAAGATTGCTTATCCCACTCAGCAGGGAGGAGCGTCAGGGGCTCGGTGACACCCCTCCCCCGAGGTAGAGAACTTGCCTTTGACATCTGTCAGTCTTCCCAGTCAGGAAATCCAACTGGATGAGCTAATTCTACTTGGCTGTAAGGTAAAGGTAAAGGTTCCCCTCGCACCTATGTGCTAATCGTTCCCGACTCTAGGGGGCGGTGCTCATCTCTGTTTCAAAGCCGAAGAGCCAGCGCTATCCGAAGACGTCTCCGTGGTCATGTGGCCGGCATGACTCAACGCCAAAGGTGCACGGAATGCTGTTCCCTTCCCACCAAAGGTGCTCCCTATTTTTCTACTTGCATTTTTTACCTGCTTTCGAACTGCTAGGTTGGCAGAAGCTGGGACAAGTCACGGGAGTTACACGGCATTAGGGATTCGAACCGCCGAACTGCCGACCTTTCGATCGACAAGCTCAGCGTCTTAGCCACTAAGCCACCGCGTCCCTTACTTGGCTGTAAAGTTACATTAACCAGAATTTTGCAAGTCTGAAAGTATAAATCTCCCACTGTCACTTTTAGTCTGAGAAAGTCCCTCCAGATTCTCTTTCTCCACCCGTTATGCAGCTGAGGGTGAAGCTGTCTCTTATCTGGCAGTGTGTTTTTCATCCCGCCTTCCAAGGCCTTTCTCACATCCTTTGGTTATCACCTCTGCCTCACCTTCACCGTCTGCTCCCGAATGGCTGGATTGGTGTCCAGGAAACCGTGGACCACGTGGGGGAAGATCTGGGTGTTGACCGTGGGCTCGTTCAGATACTGAATGAAGTGCTCCATCTGGAGGGGAAACACCGGCAATCAGTTGGTGCCTGAGGCACAAAATTGAGCCACCGCAATTTCTCTCCCTGAGTTGCACCAGGCACGAAGGGGCCAGGTCCGCACAAACATACAGAATAGACCCAGGTTTGCACTAAAAACATGCGCTAACTCCAGAGGCTGCATTCATGCAATTTATTTTTTGACTTATTAGTATCCTGCCCTTATTACTTTTTTTTAATGTCCCAACCTGTGGGCCATGGCCTATTCGCAACCGGGCTGCATGAATGGCTGGCCCCCGTCGTGCGAGCATCGCAGGCGTTTAGGTACTCACTCACGCAAGCAACAGGTGCTTGTGTCTACTCCTCCCACTAAACCATCCCCTCTTTCCCCCTCCCAACTCCGGGACACCAACCCGGGAAGGTTGGGGAACTCTGCTGTTAATCCCTTAATTCGGGATAGAGTCAAGGCAACTGAATAGGACTGAGCATTTACTGACTGGATGCCCTTCCTCATGCCTACACAGAGTTCACAGCAGATGTTTTCTCTTTGAAGCCCACTGATTTCAATCGCTTAAATACGGGCCTGATAGCTCAGCAGACTAAAATCATGGTGATTAACACCAGCTGTCTGCAATTACTGCAAGTTCAAATCTCACCAGGCTCAAGGTTGACTCAGCCTTCCATCCTTTCTAAGGTAGGTAAATTGAGGACCCAGATTGTGGGGGCAATAAGCTGACTTTGTATAAATATATACAAAAGTATGAAGGCTTTTGCTTAACGCATTGTAAGCCACCCTGAGTCTCCGGAGAAGGGCGGCATATAAATCAATTTAAAAAAAATAAAAAATCATCTATGACTCTATTTAAAAGAAAGAGCCAAGGACGCAACAATGTCCTTTCTCTTAACAAATACACAACCCCAAATGCAACTCTTTGTGATTTGGATGCCGGCTAACCTGTTGCAGCAAACGGATCCTCATGGCCCGATCCGGGGAAGAGAACATCTTCACAATTACGGGGATGATTTTTTGCTGGTATTCCTGGCTATTCAAGAATTTCCCCACCTGGAAAAGGGGGAAAGAAAAGCAGAGGAAGAAAAGAGAGAGAGAGGGAGGGAGGATTTCTAATTAAGCATCTTGAATATACACAACAGGTTAATTGAGTCAGAAGCATCACAATGAAAGAAAGTCGTGCTACATGACATAAAAATTAAAAAAATTAAAATAGAAGTTATGTGCAAATGTACAAATGAAGCAGATCTTGCCCAAATTAAGCAAGGCCTACTTCATGTGTGCATATCTTGTTATTTTATTTGTTATTGTTTACTTGTTATTTCTAGGCTGCATAAACAGAGGGATAGAATCAACATCACATGAAGGGTTAATACCACTTTACAAGGCCTTGGTAAAGCCACACTTGGAATTCTGCATCCAGTTTTGGTTGCCATGATGTAAAAAAGATGTGGAGACTCTGGAAAGAGTGCAGAGAAGAGCAACAAAAATGATGAGGGGACTGGAGGCTAAAACATACAATGAACAATTGCAGGAACTGGGCATGGCTAGTTTAATGAAAAGAAGGACTAGGAGAGACATGACAGCAGTCTTCCAATATTTGAGGGGCTGCCACAAAGAAGAGGGAGTCAAACTATTCTCCAAAGCACCTGAGGGTAGAAGAAGCAATGGGTGGAAACTCATCAAGGAGAGAAGCAACTTAGAACTAAGGAGAAATTTCCTGACAGTGAGAACAATTAATAAGTGGAACAACTGGCCTCCAGAAGTTGTGAATGCTCCAACACTGGAAGTTTTTAAGAAGATTAATTAAAAACTGGGGGCGAATTATGCGAGTAATAGACTCAAAAGTTAAAGGATTCAGGAGAAAAGATATAATAAATATAAAAATAAAAAAAAGAAGAAGAAGAAGAAAAGAGAATGGGATGAAGGGAGAAAATTATTAAGAAGTGGAATTCTGGAGAGACCAAGAGAAAACGGTTAAAAGGGGAAGAATAGTGGAAAGGAGGAAGGGAAATAAGGTATATATGAGTAGATCTAAGGGAACTGTATTAATATTAGCAATTGTGAATGTAAGAAGCGAATATGATGATGTATATTGTTTATTGTAAAACAGAACAGCAGATGAAATATGAAGTGGCAATTTGGTTCAATTATGAAAATAACTGAAATCAAGAGACAAAATTGAAATGATAAAAAGTGTGATAGGGATTTTGAAAAAAACATGCTGTAAATGATGAAATAAAATAATTAATTGATGCTCTAGTAAGAAATTAGGAATTAAAGGCGGATAGTGATATTGCTGGTTATGTACTAAGAAGAGATTAAGATAAGATGTGGAAGGTTAATTAAGTTAAAGGGCTTCAATGTAAGAATTGAATACAATGAAGCGCATTGTTTATAGACAAAAAGTGTGATGGGGATTCTGAGAAATGTATTTTATAAATGGAGAAATAAGATAATTAACTGATGTTATGCTAAGAAACTAGGAGTTGAAGGGCGGATGATGATATTGTTTATACATTTTGTATTAAGAAGAGATTAAGATAAAATAAAGAAGTAGGGAAAAAGAATATTTTGGCTGAAACTGAAATATGTAAATTGTATTTGGAAAAAACAAAAAGGAAGATTGGAATAGACGATAAAAATCAATATATAACTATGTTACAAGATGAGTAAGTTGTGAATAAGATTATGAACACTATGTAAAAGAAAAATTTAATAAAACTTGTTTTACAAAAACCAAAAAAAATTGTATTGTTAAGCAAATGAAATATCCAGACTACCCGACGTTTAATCACTAAGAAATGTATTTAATAGAAAATCATTTTTTTAAAAAAAAAGGATACATTGATTGGAGCACAAAGAGCAGGCATTCCTATGTGTTGTTGTCTGCATGTCACCACAATCGCAAAAAGCAGAAACAAGCAGACACACAACAAGTGTGCCAGGTTTAATGGAAACGAAGAAAGCCTCAGTACCCTGAGCCACAATCTCCATCCTTCTCCAACTTCTGGGGAATCCGTTCTGAGGTTTTTTCCCAAGCCCCGTAGGAGCATGAATCGGGGGGGGGGGGGGGGGGGGGAGACCAGCTGGAACCTGAGCTCACAGAGATGGAGGGATGGGCTTTGTTGGCTTCAGAGGAAAATGGGGAAGGGCAGGGCCAGTCAGGCCAGGGTCTTTCAAGATTAGGACAGTTTGTAGGCAGGGAGGAACAGAGGCAGGATAACCAAGAAAGACAGAACTGAGGCAAGGACCGCCCCCTCCTGATCCAAGAGCACGGAGAGTGGAGAGAAGGCAAGAGTAGCACAGACTGAGCAGACTACTCGGGAGGAGAGCGCCCAGCCCCTCTTCACAAGGCACACCTGGGGAATGAGACTTAAGGAGACGCTATGGGGAGGGGCATTTGTTGGGAACAAACGCTGAATTCCTGAAGTGTGGAGTGCCGACGTTTGGATTTCCCAAGAGTCCTTGCATTCTTTCTGCCCTTCTGGACTAATTCCCTGGATCCTTGGCTTCCTGAACTCCTTGATTTGCCCTGCTGGGTTTATTGCTTTGCAGCCGTGGTGCCCACAGAGTTGGGCTGGATTATTTGCAGCCAGAGGCTGCTTGAGGTATGCGTGGGGGTTTGTTATCACTTTGCTCTGGGACTTGCCAGAAACGTGGGAGCGTTTGGGGAAATTTGGAGCAATAAAGAGGCGGTTTGAACCGCCAGCTGTTTGTGTTATCTCTGTGCCATGTCCCGGCTCATCACAATCCATGTCTCCTTCCTTGTTCCGCAGAGCGGCTTACCTTAAAGAGTGGGGTGAGGATGATGGCCCCTGCACTCCCAAACTCAAAAGCCATCAGCAATTGGGGAAGGACCTTGTGGCGACAGAAGTCCTCAGGGAAATTATCTAGGTTGTCACTGAGTTCTTGGAAAAACTTCTGCCGCTCGGCCGGCTCCTTAATCTGCAGGAAAAAAAGCAGTAACCAAGAGTTATGGGTTCAAATCTGCCCCACCCACCTTTTCCAGCTAGGAGAAGGGGCAGGCATGAAATTCATTGGGAGGTGCGGGTCATTCAGACTAGATCTCCAACCAGAACTCTGGAGGTTCTGGCTCCAGAACCTGGAGCCAGGTTCTGCAGAAGGATTCCCACTGCAGAGATATCATGTGGCAAAGACCCCATGATCTAGCCAGCCCTCAACAAGGGGGTCAGGATATTTGATAACCTTTTTACAGATTAATGGTTGATGGTTCATGCTTGTATATTCCATAGCAGTGTTTTTTAAACTTCGCCACTTTTAAGACATGTGGACATCTAAGTGTATAGCTAGCTACGGAATTCTGGGAGCTGAAGTCCACACGTCTTAAAGTGACAGTGCTTGAAAATCACTGTTGTACAGGAACATTTTTCTTTCGGGCAGCGCTTCCCTATTTTTTTTTCCTTCATTATCCAAAGCCACTTATCAAAAAAATCTTATCAAACTTCAGGGACCAGCTGTCCATCCCTTTCTTCAACACCATTGGAACTTCAAATGGTCAAATGGATAAACAGTCATAACACAAGGACAACGTGTATTATAAGAACAATACCACTGAACTGTCTTTTATCGTGGCACGGTAGGTAGAATACAGGATTGCAGGCTAACTCTGCCCACTGCCAGGAGTTCGATCCTGACCAGCTCAAGGTTGACTCAGCCCTCCATGGTCAGTAAAATGAGGACCCAGATTGTTGGGGGCAAGAGGCTGACTCTGTAAACTGCTTAGAGAGGGCTGTAAAGCACTGTAAAGCACTATATAAGTCTAAGTGCTAAGTGGTATCTTCCTTTCCTTTCCTTTCCTTTCCTTTCCTTTCCTTTCCTTTCCTTTCCTTTCCTTTCCTTTCCTTTTGCTATTATAACTTTTCAACAAATTACATTGGTAATTTCAATGATTCTTGGCTTCGTAGGAAAATTTGGGAGATTTATATATATTTTTTAGGATATGTGGCAATCTTGAAGGCCATTTCAATGCTCCTGATGTGATGGGACTTTTACACAACTTGGTGTGATTTTACCAGGTATGGGAAACGCTGCCTTATGACATCCAGTATCTATCTATCTATCTATCTATCTATCTATCTATCTATCTATCTATCAGCACATTCACGTCGTATTTTAGTAAAAGGGATCAGTAAAAAAAAAATCAGTAAAAAAATTCCTATATTTTATTGCAATAATGTGTGAATGGCAAACACCTCCAGATATGGAGATTGAAATCTCAAATGTTCCAAGGTTCAACCAAGTTCTTTGACCCACAACCAGGACTTCTTCCTACACTTTAGCCCCATGGACAGCCGTAAAATCAACCGGACACAGGCCAGGAGCCTTTGGTGCTCCCCTGCGCTCACCTGGATCTCCTCCAGAAAGAGGTTGGTCTCCACAAACTTGTTGTCCATGAAACCGCCCATCCGAGAGCAATTCTGCAGGAATTTGGATGGGCTGGGTCGTAGCTTGGGATTGGCACAAACCAGCTCGCAGTAATGGGGCACCAAGGACTTGGGGATCTGGAAGAGAAGGAAGGAGGCAGATAGGTCAGAAGAAGGAGATGGTGGTTTCCAACAGAAAGCCAGTCTACCCAGAAGCAGGAGAGGGAAGACAAGATGGGCACCGTTCATGTCTCGTGCAGTTCCAATGTCAACTGTGCAACCTGCGGCCTTTTTCACTTTGCAACTTTATGGAGTAGACAAAACACACTTCATTTTAGGGCACCGATTCACCACATTGGCAACTTTAAGATGGGTGGACTTGAAGTCTTAAAGTTATCAAGGTTGAGAAAACTGGTCTAACCCATTTCTGGGTATTCATCTATCTTTTACTCCTAATATGCCAGCCCACTCTTTTTACATCTAGGGGAAGAGAGAGAGAGAGAGAGAAAAGAGAGAGAGAAAGAAAAAGAAGAGAGAGAAAGAAAGAGAGAGAGAGAAGGAAGGAAGGAAGGAAGGAAGGAAGGAAGGAAGGAAGGAAGGAAGGAAGGAAGGAAGGAAGGAAGAAATAGGAGGGGAGGAATTAGATTGAAGAAGAAGTAAGGAAGAAATGAAGGAAGGAAGGAAGGAAGGAAAGAAAGAAAGAAAGAACAAAAGAAAGAGGAAGGGAGGAATTAGACTGAAGAAAAAGGAAGGAAGAAATGGAGGGAGGGAGGGAGGAAAGAGAAAAAAGAGAGAAAGAAGAGAAAGAAAGAAAGAAAAGAAGAAAGAAAGAAGAAAGAAAGGAAGGAAGGAAGGAAGGAAGGAAGGAAGAAGGAAGGAAGGAAGGAGGAAGGACAAAAGAAAATAGTGGGAGGAATTAGACTGAAGAAAAAGTAAGGAAGAAATGAAGGGAGGGAGGGAGGAAGGAAGGAAGGAAGGAAGGAAGGAAGGAAGGAAGGAAGGAAGAGAAGGAAGGAAGGAAGGAAAGAAAGAAAGAAAGAAAGAAAGAAAGAAAGAAGGAAAGAAAGAAAGAAAGAAGAAAGAAAGAAAGAAAGAAAGAAAGAAAGAAAGAAAGAAAGAAAGGGAATTCACACCACCATGTGATTTACAAAGCTAGCTACCTCCATTCGGTCCACTCCGTGTCCGCCCTGGAAGACCATTTTGTCCCTCTGTACCCAGCCCACTTCATGCATCAGAGAAAACCTGTATTCTCACCACCAACCAACCAACGGTGCGAACTGTCAATCTCGGTTACAGTTGATGGGGTTGTGTGAACCCAGGAAACGGGGTCAGCTCAGTCAACCCCCATTCAACGAACTGTTGGGAAAGGGTCGCCAAACAGACTCACTTTGTTGAGGGACCGCAGGGAGGACGATCGGGTCAGGGGGCCGTTGAAAACCTCCCAGATGAGGCAGCCCAATCGCCACATGTCTGCTGACCTAAGACCACACACAGGAAGCAAGTTCGAGTCAAGTCAGAATCATGAGGACTAGCTCCATGCCCCCCCCAGTGGATAGTTTCTTTCCAAGACAGATTTAAACCAACCCACCCCTCCAAAATACGACACAGACCGATCTATGCTTGAAGGGATTCCCACAAAAGACAAAACCAGGTTAAAAACAGGTTTGTGCCTTATTCCAAATAAAGGGCTGCGTGTGAATCGAGCCATCCCTTTGAAACCTGGATGTCTTCACTGTATACAGATGTGTGCATTCAGCCTTTAGTTATGTTAACACAAAGCTTCGCATTTGCACTGTGTGAGCCTGCCTTGTTTCCAAGGCAAGGTACCAGCTATGGGAAAGAATTTACAGAATAACAAAGAGTTGGAAGGGACCTTGGAGGTCTTCTAGTCCAACCCCCTGCACAAGCAGGAGACCCTGTCCCATTTCAGACAAGTGGCTGTCCACACTCTTCTTAAAAGCCTCCAGTGATGGAGCACCCCCAACTTCTGGAGGCAACTTCTGTTCCACTGATTAATTCTTCTCACTGTTAGGAATAGAGTAGAGTAGAGTAGAGTAGAGTAGAGTAGAGTAGAGTAGAACAGGAATAGGAATAGGTGTAGAGTAGAGTAGAGTAGAGATAGGAATAGGAATAGGAATAGGAATAGGAATAGGAATAGGAATAGGAATAGAATGGAATGGAATGGAATAAATATAGAATGGAATGGAATGGGATGGGATGGGATGGGATAGGATAGGATAGGATAAATATGGAATGGAATGGAATGGAATGGAATAGAAACAGAAATTAGAATAGAATAGAATAGAATAATATATGAAATAGAATGGAATAAATATAGAATGGAATGGAATGGAATAGAATGGAAATAGAAGTAGAAATTAGAATAGAATAATGGAATGGAATGGAATGGAATGGAATGGAATGGAATGGAATAGAATAGAATAGAATAGAATAGTATAGAATAGAATAGAATAGAATAGAATAGAATAGAATAGAATAGAATAGAATAGAATAGAATAGAATAGAATAGAATAGAATAGAACAGAACAGAAAATATGGAATGGAATAGAAATAGAAATAGAAACAGAAATTAGAATAGAATAATGGAATGGAATGAAATGGAATACGAATGGAAATAATAGAAATAGAAGAAATAGGAATAGGGATAGGAATAGGAATAGAAATAGAGCTGGAGGGGACCTTGGAGATCTTCTAGTCCAGCCCCCTGCTCAAGCAGGAGAACCTAAGGAAATTTCTCCTTAGTTCCAGGTTGCTTCTCCCCTTGATTGGTTTCCATCCTTTGCTTCTTATTCAGCCTTTGGGTGCTTGGGAGAATAGGTTGGGCCTCCTCTTCTTTGTGGCAGCCCCTCAAATACTGGAAGACTGCTACCATGTCATCCCTGGTCCTTCTTTTCTCTAGACTAACCATAACCAATTCCTGCAAATGTCCTTCACATATTTTAGCCTCCAATCCCCTAATCATCTCTCCACTTTTTCCAGAGTCTCAACATCTGTAGATATAGGAGACATGAGTGGCATATCCTGACTGGCAGCTAGAAAATCAGCAAAACTGATTTTTACCTTTGACTTTGACCTGCTGCCCTCGCCAGAGTTAGAGAAGCCAAAACTAAATTTAAACACTTTTCATTGAGCTTAACTTTTATTGATTAGATCCCTGGAAAGTGGTTAATAATTTCTTACTTTGTAATGAAAATGACCCTGGGGCAGAAACCGATAAGACAGTCTCCAAGGGGCGCCCCAAAGCTTTCAGGGCTGTCCGGTGTAGCCCTTGGCAAGTAAGGATCCCACTTGCATAGTAGGCCTCCAATCGGTGCAGATACTTTTAAGCATTCCTGAAAAGGATTCCTCCCGCAACCCATTCAGAAATTGGATTGATTTTTCTCATTCGAATGGATTTTCGAAATTGGGTGGTAATTGGGTGTCAGAGTTCCAAGAACACACCCAAAGGAATCAAAACTCCAAGGCAGGCATGTTCCTCAAAGTATAGATTAATTAGTCATGTCATATTGACGTGGTGGCTCAGTGGATCAGATGCTGAGCTTGTCGATCGATAGGTCGGCAGTTCAGCGGTTCGAATCCCTAGTGCCGCGTAACGGGGTGAGCTCCCGTGACTTGTCCCAGCTTCTGCCAACCTAGCAGTTCGAAAGCAGGTAAAAAATGCAAGTGGAAAAATAGGGACCACCTTTGGTGGGAAGGGAACAGCGTTCTGTGCGCCTTTGGCATTGAGTCATGCCGGCCACATGACCACGGAGACGTCTTCGGACAGCGCTGGCTCTTCGGCTTTGAAACGGAGATGAGCACCGCCCCCTAGAGTCGGGAACGACTAGCACATATGTGCGAGGGGAACTGTTGTGGCCCACCAGCGGCCTGTGCGGATCGTGGCTGATCCTGACGAGGAGGCTGGTGTGGTGTCGCGCCAGCAGCCGGCGCTCGCGTCGGACAGCGAGGAGGCCGAAGAGGATGTGGTGCCAGAGGCAGAGACTCAGCCAGGGCCTTCAGAACCTCCAGAGGCTCCTTCCAGTGGAGAGAGCGAAGTGGAGGAGCCTCTCCTCAATGCTCGGGCACGCAGGGCTGCCAAAAGGCAGGAGTGGCTACTCAGGAGGAGGAGGAGGAGGTCTCCTCGAGAGTAAGGCTTGAGGATAATTGGCCACTCCCTTAGCCTATTTAAGTCACACGCAGCTAGTGCTTTTTTGCTGGAAACAACTTGTATTTATAATCAGAGTATTTTGGTTTATCATATCTTGCTTTCTGGCTGGTTGCCAACCTTTGCCGGTCTTGTTTATTCTTGCTACTTAATAAATTTGATAAGGACCGTTGGTGTGTGTCAATATCCTCCCGGAATCCGGAGCTGGGGCAGAACAGGAACCTTCACCTTTACCTTTTTATTGGCACATCTGAGGAAACCCGACTCTAAACCCCCCTCGGGTTCCCTCCCAGCTAAAAGCAAAGTTTTATTTCCCCCCCAGCTAAAAGCAAAGTTTATGTTCATGCAATTCATCACATGCAGCAGTAGGTTTCACATATTCTTACCATTGGTGTCAGACTGGTGTCAGTCTTGTCCGTCTGTCAGACTGCGGTGCTATCTCAAAATTAAATGAATTTCCAAACTGCCAATCTTTCAGGAAATCTTTCTTTAATTGAGCTCAGCCACCGGATCATGACTCCACGCGGACAAGACTGACCTTTTGCCTCCCAATCCCTCCCTTTCCGATCCCCAAATCTCTGCTTCTCATTAGCTGTCTTCCAAGACATTCTTCAGACTTCTTTTCTTCGTCATTTCTCAGGAATGTGCCCCCTCCCCTCATTTCCACGACAACCAAGCTTCAAAGGGATTTAGCAGGCAAAAGTTTCAGAGTTTATCTTTCGCTCTCCTCTGCTCTCTCTCTATGCCAGCGTTGCAACGCTGACATCTGGTTTGCCTCTCATGCGCGTGCTTTCCATGCATGCACCTGGCCGCAAAAACCGGGCTAAATAGGATGGCATTACACCGGGGCGGGTGGCGGGCAGGCCCACCTGCAGTCGCCACTACCGATTCGCCCGAACCGGTACGAACCGGCTGAATTCCACCTCTGATCACATGGTCCAATCAGGCCACAGTCCAAGGGGTCAGTTGGTCTCAGAATCCCACCTCCTTAGCACCTGGTGGGAACGTCCTTGGTTCTCAGAGGAAAGAATTTTATTTTGGCTACAATCCCCCAGCTATCTCTACCTCCCCCCCTTTACGTTCCCACAGCTTGATTCGTCTCCGCTGTGCCAGTCCTGAAGGCGCCAGGGAGAAAAATGGCTGAAGGGCTGACATTGAACCCCATTGGATCCGAATCCGACTTGAAGCGACTGCATTTTGTATGCGTCGCTTGGTGCTTGTAACAGAGTTGGAAGGGACCTTGGAGGTCATCTAGTCTAACCCCCTGCTCACGCAGGAGACCTGTACTAGGGATTCGAACCGCCAAACTGCCGACCTTTCCGATCGACAAGCTCAGTGTCTTCTCAGCTCTCCTGTCCTTCCCCACCCCTGCTCCCTTGCAAACCCCAAAATCTTCATTTGGGGGCTCGGGTCAAACCCCTCCCCCAACTAAGATGCTACTCATATGTGCAGATACGAGATCCACAAATCCACTGATTAAAAAAACGGTATTTTTCAACCTTGGCCGCTTTAAAACGGGTGGATTTCAACTCCCAGAATTCCCCAGCCAGCACAGTGACCGAGGGTTGAGAAACACGGTAAAGGTAGTCCTCAACTTATGACCACAATTATATATTTTTTCTTTAACATCCATAGGTGTTTGGTGAAGAGTGTATTCTCCGGGTCAATTCACATCATCATCATCATCATCATCATCATCATTATCATTAATATTATTATTATTATTATTATTATTATTATTATTATTATTTTATTATTATTATTATTTACGCATAATAATCTTTCAACTTCTAATATTTACACATACATAATAATAATGTATTGTATTATGTAGCAGTATACACGGTAGTATTTTCCCAATTTCTAATTTCTACTTCTATTTTCTAACCATTAGTAAAACAAATCCCATATTAAGAAGTATTCTGTTCCTCATTAATCATTTATTTAATTATGGCTATTTCTTCCCTCGTTATTATTCAAAATATTCTTAAATTTTGAGTTAATTTTTATTATAACATTCATTTCATTCCTCCTAACTCTGTCTACTAATATATATTTATATTTTATTTCACATCATTCTACACTTCGTGTATTGTGAAGATCTCTACCATATTTCATTTCCATATTTTTTTGTCTAACCACTGATAAAATAAGTCCCATATCTTATAGTATTGTTTATCTTCTTGTTCTCTAATTTCAAATGTCAATTTACTCATTTCAGAGGATAATAATATATAGATATATACTAGATCGATGACATGAGAATTTAGATAAACTGTAAATTGTAAGCTATGAATTTGGTGAAGAGGCACAAAAAGACTTGTAACCAACCGACACACTGTTTGCAATGTAATAAGGCTTTTATGTATATTTGTTTAAAAATTAAAAAAAAAATCTCAACAACAACAACAACAACAACAACAACAACAACAACAACAACAATAATAATAATAATAATAATAATAATAATAATAATAATTTTATTTCTATACCGCCCTTCTCCCGAAGGACTCAGGGCGGTGTACAGCCTATTAAAAGCACAAGACAAACATCAATTAAAATTATTTTAAAATTATTAAATAATTCGGCTCAATTTAAAACCCCAGAAATTTAAAACACCCAATTTAAAATTATTATGTTGATAGCCCAGCCTAAGAAGTATTAAAGTATAAAGTATTAAAGAAGTATACTAAATAGAAGTATTCTGTTATCTATCCATCATCTCTTGCCCTTTTTAGTATTTCGACTCTCATTGACTTTTTAACAAAGCTCACTTGTTCCTCCGGGGGACCTTAATGTCTCCTTACATCACTCATTAATTTGAGTATTTCATCTGCCTCCACATCTACGTCTCGCTTTCTGGTCTCAAGGGCCCCCACCAATAATTCTTTCATCTCTTCTGGCAGATCTTCCTCTTTGAGCAAATGAGCCCAAAATTTCTGCTGCTAAACAAAACAGCCGTTAAGTGAAATTTGCCCATTTTATGACCTAATTGAATTGTCGGAGTTGTTAAATTAGTCACACGGGTGTTAAGCGAATCGGGCTTCCCCACTGAATCCTAGCCTGACTAGGTGGCTCAGTGGCTAAGACACTGAGCTTGTCGATCAGAAAGGTCGGCAGTTCGGCGGTTCGAATCCCTAGTACAGGTCTCCTCCTGCGTGAGCAGGGGGTTGGACTAGATGACCTCCGAGGTCCCTTCCAACTCTGTTACAGTGTTACTTTGCTGGTCAGAAGGTGGCCAAAGGGGATCACATGACCCCGGGACATTGAGACCGTCATAAATATTAGATGGTTGCCAAAGTCTGAATTTTGATCCACACGCTCACAGGGATGCTGCAATGGCCGTAAGTGTGAGAAACGGTCATAAGTCACTTTTTGCAGTGCCGTTGTAATGTTGAACGGCCACTAAACGAACTGTCATAAGTCGAGGACTCCCTGTATTTTAAAAATACTGATTTAAAACATGGAGAGAGAAAGAGAGGTAAACCCACCATTTCTCGCCAACGTTTTTGGTGCTGTCGGATAATTCGGGGGGGTTGTATTTCTCCAGCTCGGGGACCCCCTTCTGTGGCACGGTGACGTCTCCCTGGGCCGAGCACATGTAATCCAAGCCACCCAGCTTCCACTCGCCAGCACGGTCCACGTAAACCACGCCCAGGCAGACGTTGTTATGGACGAGATGACAGTCGTTGACCAGGAAACTGAGGGCTTTCTAAGGAAGGAAAGGGGAGAGGGGACAGAAGACGGTCAAGGAAGGGGTCACAGGTCACGGCCAAGGATCTGACATATCTTGACCCTTAGCCTGGTCAAGGGGGCTGAATTCACACAACCTGCTTGATCCCTGAGGGAAACACCGGATATACACCTAATAAATACATAAATAAGCAGTATATAAATACTAGTTATTTATATACTGAATGAATGAATGAAGGGAATAAATAAATAAATGAAATAAATAAATAAATAAAATAAATAAATAAATAAATGAAATAAACGAATGAATGAATGAATAAATAAATAAATAAATAGTCCCCAACTTACAACAGTTCATTGAGTGACCATTGAAAGTTACAACAGAACTTGCAAAAAGTGACTTACGACCATTTTTCACAGTTACGGCCTTTGAAGCATCCCCAGGGTCACGCAATCCAAATTCAGAGGCTTGGCCACTGGCTCATATTTATGACCGTTGCCGTGTCCCCTCCCCCCAGGGTCACATGATCCAGTGGTGAAATGTAAACTTTTACTACCGGTTCTGTGGGTGTGGCTTGGGGGGGAAGGTAATGTGACTGGGTGGGCGTGGCCAAATAGGTTGTAAAAAATGCTTTTAAAAGGTTTAAAAAAAGACTCTGACGATCACAGCTGTGCTGGACGATCGTCAGAGCCTTTTTTTTACTTTTCAAAAGCAGGAAGTAACGGCACCCGGGCGGGTGGGCGGAGCCTTGCGCCACCATCACTACCGGTTCTCCGAACCACCTGCCACAATTGCTACCAGATCGCCCGATCCGGTCCGAACCGGGAGCATTTCACACCTGATGTGATCTCCCTTTTGCAACCTTCTGACAAGCCAAAAGTCAGTGGGGATGCCAGATTCACTTAACAGCCGTGTTTCTAACTTATCAACTGCACTGATTCACTTAACAACGGTGGCAAGAGAGATTGTAAAATGGGGCAGAATTCAATTAACAAATGTTTCGTTTAGCAGCAGAAATGTTGGGCTTAATGGCGGTCATTAGTCGAGAATATATATTTGGAATATACCAGTAATCCCTTTTTGTTGTGGCCCGCCAGCGGCCTACGCGGATTGTGGCTGATCCCGACGAAGAGGAGGCTGGTGTGGTGTCGCGCCAGCAGCCCACACTTGCGTCAGACAGCGAGGAGGCGAAGAGGATGTGGTGCCAGAGGCAGAGACTCAGCCAGGGCCTTCAGAATCTCCAGAGGCTCCGTCAAGTGGAGAGAGAGTGAAGTGGAGGAGCCTCTCCTCAATGCTCGAGCATGCAGGGCTGCCAAAAGGCAGGAGTGGCTACTCAGGAGGAGGAGGAGGAGGTCTCCTCGAGAGTAAGGCTTGAGGATAATTGGCCACTCCCTTAGCCTATTTAAGTCACACGCAGCTAGTGCTTTTTTGCTGGAAACAACTTGTATTTATAATCAGAGTATTTTGGTTTATCATATCCTGATTTCTGGGCTGGTTGCCAACCTTTGCCAGTCTTGTTTATTCTTGCTACTTAATAAATTTGATAAGGACCGTTGGTGTGTGTCAATATCCTCCCGGAATCCGGAGCTGGGGCAGAATACTTTTTCAGATAGGTCGTAACTTGGAACGGTCACTAAGCGAACAGTCATAAGTAGAGGACTACTTGTGTGAAGGAGTCTAACCCAGCTCCCCCCCCCCACTCCCTGGCCCTGATACAGGTCTCCCCAGCACTCACCGCAATCTGATGAAGACCCCAGGAAATCTCCGGCTCGCTCAAACCCTTCCCGTCCCCCCGCGACTCCAGGTAAGCCGGCAATGGCGTCACCGGCTCGGTGACCACGTGTAAACTTTTCTCTGTCTGCAAAACCAAAGAAGAAAATGTCATTCTCACCATGGAGGAATATGGGGGGTGGGGGTGGGGAGGCAAGTGGGGAACGGCAGGAGAGCGTGTCGTGAAAACCGTCACAAGTGGTTGGACAAATGGACATTTGCTAGTGTTCTGACCGAGCTCCCCAAACACGACAAACCCTCTTTAGTTAAATCAAAATATTCCTTTATTAGGAGCGCCAGCAGCCCCGGAAAAACAGTTTCTCTCTCACCACAAGCTAACAAGTTCGTCTGGCAGGGAGAGGAATAGTTGTCTGACACGTCTATTCATCTCCGCCCCCTGCCTTTTATCCCCAGAGCTAGGGAGGGGCTTCGCTAGCAGCGGTGGCTCTTCCGTCCCAAGGACCGGCCCATAGATTTCCACTGCTCTCCTCTCCTCTGCCTTCTGTGTATCCATGCGTCAGGCACTGGACCCAGCTGTTCCTCCTCTTCTTCAACAGTCACCTCCAGACCTGGGGGCTGTTGACTCTCCATCTGAGGGTTGACGGACGGTCTAGGCCCGTGATGGCGAACCTGTGGCACGCGGAGCCATATTAGTGGGCACGCCAGCTCAGCTCTGGGGCGCATGCGCGCGCCGGCCAGCTGATTTTCGGGCCTTCTGGGCCCATCAGAAGTAGGGAAACAGGCTGTTTCCTGACTCTGGAGGGCCTGGGGGGGGGGTAAGGCCCGTTTTTCTTTCTTACCTGGTTCCAGATCCTCTCTGTGTATCTGGGAAGGGCGAAAACAGCCTTTCCCACACCCTTGGAGGCCCTACAGAGGCTGAAAGGGCCCATTTCCCCATTCCCGGTGGGACAGGAAGTGACTTTTTTTCCTGTCCCCAGCCTCCAGAGACTCCTAGAGAGGCTCCTACAGACTCCTAGAGAGGCTCCTAGAGACTCCTAGAGAGGTTCTGGAGGCTGGGGACAGCAAAAAATGTCACTTCCTGTCCCACCGGGAGTTGGGAAATGGGCCCTTTCAGCCTCCGTAGGGCCTCCAAGGGAGTGGGAAAGGCTGTTTTCGCCGTTCCCAGATACACAGAGAGGATCTGGAACCAGGTAAGAAAGAAAAACTGGGCCTACCAGGCCATCATGTGCCAGGAGCGGGGGGGGAGGGGGTTGCGCACACATGCGCGTGGGCACGTGTGCGCGTACCCTCCCCCGCCCCCCCCTCTCCTGGCACGCGATGGCAAAAAGGTTTAGCCATCACTGGCCTAGGCTCTGCTTCTGTCCCCCTCTCTCTCTCTGCCAGCTCCATTCCCTCTTCCCCCTCGGAGCTCTCAGGTTGGCCTGATGGTGACCCCGACTCCCACGCCTCCTCCTCTTCCTCCGATTTGGCTGCTGGAGGGGCCGGCAGCTGACCGGCTACAACAGCGAGTTGCCAATGTGCTGGTTTCAATAGAAGAGAATATCTGTAGCTCGGGGTTGACCTGCGGGGTCCCTGGCGCTCTCTGAGTTTGGTTAGTTTTCTTGCAGATCTTTCACAGGGATAAATCACATTTACACACAATAAAAAAGCTAAGAAGGCAACAACAGGACCAGGAAATAGGAGGCAACAGCCAGATAAGCAGGGATTAACACCAGACAAACAATTAAGCAGAAAACATTTCCTTGATCCGGGAACCACCAAGGAGAAAATCACTTGAACCAAGCGAGTATATATAAACAGGGAACAAATTCCACATTCACACATACCAATGATCTTGGCTCATGAAATGTTTGCAAGGAGAACTCCAAGGGACCCCCAGAAAGAGAAAGCCAGATAAGCAGGGATTTACACCAAACAAGGAAGCAGAAAACAATACCCTAATCAAGGAACCACCCAGGAGAAAACTCTCTCCCTGTCAAAACAAGCAAGAGATTTTATATAAACTGAGCAAACTCCACACTCACTTCCAACTGATGATGTTACCTACTTAGACAATGAAACGTCTCAATAAAGTAGGGGTGTCAAACTCAAGGCCTGCGGGCCGGATCCGGCCTGCAGGGTGCCTAGATCTGGCCTGGGGGGCTGCCCTGGAATCAGCAAAGGACCAGCCTGTGATGCCCCTGCCAGCAGATCCACCCCCCGGGGCTATTTTCACTGGCGAGAGGGCTAACAAAACAAATTAAAAACAAAACAGAAGGAGAAGTGTTTCTTCCCCTTTTGCATTTGAGCATGCAAGAAGGGACAGGAAAGGAGAAAGGGAAAAGGGAAAGGCAAAGAAGGGGAGATGGGAAGAGAGCAAGGAAGGAAAAATGAGGAAAGGAGGAAGGAAGGAAGGAAGGAGGGAGGGAGGGAGGGAAGGCGAAAGGAAGGAAGGAGGAAGGAGGGAGGAAGGAAGGAGGGAGGAAGGAAGGAGGGAGGGAGGGAAGAAGGAACGAGGGAGGGAGGGAAGGAAGGAGAAAGAAAGGGAGGAGGGAGGAGGGAGGGAGGGAAGAAGGAAGGAGGGAGGGAGGGAGGGAGGGAGGAAGGAAGGAGAAAGGAAGGAAGAAGGAGGGAGGGAGGGAGGAAGGGAGGGAGGGAGGGAAGGAAGGGGAAAGGAAGGAAGGAAGAAGGAGGAAGGAGGGAGGAGGGAGGGAGGGAAGAAGGAGGGAGGGAGGAAGGAAGGAAGGAGGGAGGGAAGGAGGGAAGGAGGGAAAGAAGTCCTGCCTTAGCATTTGGCCACCACAGGTGCCCCTGACACAAGTGATGTTGAGCTGGCCACGCCCACCTTGGCCACGTCCACTCCGCCACCCCCCCCCCAAGTCAAACACAATCCTGATGCAACCCACAATGAAATCGAGTTTGACACCCCTGCAATAAAGCAAAATACTTGTAGCTGAGGGTGGAAACGAGGCGTTCCGTGATGCTCTCTGAGCTTGATAATAATAATAATAATAATAATAATAATAACAACAACAACAACAACAACAACAACAACAACAACAATAATAATAATAATAAAATACATCTACAACGGAAGACTCAGCATTTGCACCCCAAGAGGTTCCAAACGCCTGTTGCTCAAACCGCATCTTGAAGCTACCTCTAAGCCATCAATGTAGGACAGGATATTGGGGTGCCGGAGCGTCTTCAGGAATTTGAAGGCCGTTTTGGCAAGCTGGATCTGCTCTTCGGAACTCGGCTTCACCTCGTGTACGAAAAGGGAGACCGATTCGCCCGTGGTCTGCGGAAATGAAAACGAACAAGGGGTGAGAGGGAATGGCCACAATCAGGCCATGATCAATTTGTCAGTTCTCCGGATCCAAGTGCCCCCCCCACTCGCCTAGGTTTAAGAAGAGCCATGAAATCCTAGCTAGTCACTAAGGGGAAGGAGGCCTCTCGCTCGCTTGTGCTGAGCATCTTTTTATCTCTGTCATTTCTGTTTTATTGACTTTAGATTGTCATTTTACGACAACTGACAATTCATCCATGGATTAGCTTGCCTCTTGGGCTTTTGGGGGTTCCATCGCTGGAGGTTATTTTCAAAAGATAAATTGAATCGGGATGCTATGAGGTCCCTCCTGCCTTGAACAGGGCGGGCTGGACTAGAAGACCTCTAGGGTCCCTTCAAGCCCTACCATACATCTTAAAAGCATGGTGGGTGGAGAATTTTTGAACCCATCATCACGTTACCCAGGCTGAAAAGCCCTGAACAGTGCAAAAACCCAGCTAGGACCTTCTTCCCAGTGTTAACACAACTCTGTTAAACCTGGTTATTGAAAAAACAAACCAGGATCTGTAATATGGAAACTCAAGTCAGAAAATGAGTGGGATTTACAGGATCGGGGAAGAAGACATGGAATCAGTGTTTCCCCAAAAACATGGGGAGTGGGTTTGACCCACTCTGCACATACAGAGTGGGGTCAAACCAGGTTTAAGAGCAGTGACTGTGAGAGGGACCTTGGAGTCTTAGTGGACAACCAGTGAAATAGGAGCCTTCGAGAGATCCCGCAAGGAGGCAGGTCGACCCAGGCAGGAGTCCCCACACCTTGCTCCCCTCCTTCCCCCTCCTGCCCCAAAGGAAGGAGACCCTTCCCCACACCTTGCTCCCCTCCCTCCCCCTCCTGCCCCAAAGGAAGGAGACCCCTCCCCACACCTTGCTCCCCTCCCTCCCCCTCCTGACCCAAAGGAAGGGGAGACCCCTCCCAACACACACCTTGCTCCCCTCCCTCCCCCCCTGCGCAGCCCCCTCCCCTCCTCCCCGACCGAGGCTCCTCCTTTGCAAAGACCCCCCCCCCAGCCCGGGCCCACCTTCCTCCGCCCGCGGTGCAGCTGCCAGACGCCCCCCGGTTGGGCCAGCGGGGGCTCCGGCGGGGAGGCGGCCTCGAAGGGGAAGTCTCGGATCGGGTCCCGGGCGAAGAACCACATCGTGGAGCCGGGGGGGGGCGAATTGGGGGGGCCGCTTGCAGGAGCGCCCAGCGCAGCCCGGGCAACGTCACCTCTTCTTTTTTGTGCAATGCGAGGCGGAGGAAGCGGCTCAGCCCCGGATCCTCCCGGCAAACCTCCGGAAGTGGTTGGGAAGGAAAAACAAGGGCGCCCCCGAGCGCGTGCAGAGTGCATTCCGCGTGCACACGTGCGCGGGGAGCGACGCGCGTCTTGCACACAGGGGCGATGCAAGCGGCAGCCCCTTTGCTGACCCCCCCTTTTTTTTTTCTTGGGGGGTGGTTGTGTGAACGTGGCCCCCGGGGATGCGTGTTGCATTTCCACACGCAGACACGGGGTTTGCTGGCAAGAAGGGGGGGAGGATTTGCAAGCGGGGGGGGGAGGGCGGGGGGAGAAGGTTGCACGAGGAAGAAAGGGGGGGGCAGACCCCAATAAGTGCAAAGAAGAGGAAACCCCCCCTCCCCTCCTCCGCCCACCGGGGGGGGTCCTGGGGGTGGGGGCCCCGGAGAAAAGGAGCCACAAAAAGAAGAAGAGGAGGAGGAGGAGGAGGAGGTCCTACAGGTTATCAAGCTTGGCCACCTGGAAGTTGGGTGGACTTCAACTCCCAGAATTCTCCGGCCTCTTAAAGTGACCGAAGCTGAGAAATACTAGAAGATTCTGAGAGGGAGGGAGGGAAGGGCAGGAGGTGGGGGAATGAAAAGGAAGGAAGCAGAAGAAGGAAGGAAGATAGGGAGGGGGAGAAGATGGGAAGGAGAAGGAAGGAAGGAAGGAGAAGGAAGATAGGAAAGAGGGAAAGGGAGGAGATGGGAATGAGAAGAACGAAGGTAGGAAGGAAAATAGGAAGAAGGGAGGAAAGAGGAGAAGATGGGAAGCAGAAGAAGGAAGGAAGTTAGGAAGGAGGGGAGGGGAGGGGAATGAGGAAAGAGGAAAAGATGGGAATGAGAAGAAGGAAGGAAGGAAGATACGAAGGAAGGAAGGGGAGAAGACGGGAATGAGAAGAACGAAGGTAGGAAGGAGGGAAATAGGAAGGAGGGAAGAGGAGAAGATGGGAAGGAAGGAAGATAGGAAAGAGGGAAGGGGAGAAGGAAGGAAGGAGATGGGAATGAGAAGAAGGAAGGGAGGGAAGGGGAGATGGGAATGAGAAGGAAGGAAGAAGAAGGAAGATAGGAAAGAGAGAAAGGCAGGAGATGGGAATAAGGAAGGAAGGAGATGGGAAGGAGAAGAGCGAAGGTAGGAAGGAGGGAAGGAAGGAAAATAGGAAGAAGGGAGGAAAGGAGAAGATGGGAAGGAGAAGAAGGAAGATAGGAAGGAGGGAAGGGTAGGAGATGGGAATCGAAGGAAGATAGGAAGGAGATGGGAATGAGAAGAAGGAAGGGAAAATAGGAAGGAGGAAAGAGGAAAAGATGGCAATGAGAAGAAGGAAGGTAGGATAGGAAGGGAAGGGGAGGAGATGGGAATGAAAGGAAGGAAGGAATATAGGGAAGAGAAGGGGAGGGGAACGAGGAAAGGAAAAGATGGGAAAAGGAGAGGGAAGGAAGGAAGGGGAGAAGACGGGAATGAGAAGAACGAAGGAAGGAAGGAAGGAAAATAGGAAGGGAGGTGAAAATTAATTTCAACTCACCCCTTTAAAGGCCAGGCGTTTGTCATGAATATTAAAAGAAAGAACTGACATTGAGGAGTTTTTAAACTCTTTATTTTTATTAAGAATCATCCAGCCAACCAAAATATAATATCAGTGGCAAATCAATTTATTTCCGAGATGCACTATTAGGAAACAAACCTTTTAAAGCAGCCATTTCAAGAGTAAATTCAGGACCTGTTACAGGTAGTTCTAGACTTATGACTGTAATGGAGCCTGCCCATTATGGGCGCAAGTCAAGACAGTCGTTAAGCAAGGCGCTCACTTGATCATCTCATGCACAGTTGAGCCCAAAATTTCTGTTGCTAAGTGAGACAGTGGTTAAGTGAGCTTTGCCCCACTTTCTTGCCACCGTTGTTAAGTGAATCACTGCAGTTGTTCACTTAGTAACACGGTTGTTAAGTGAATCTTCCCCATTGACTTTGCTTGTCCGAAAGTAGCAAAAGGGGATCGCGTGGGACACTGCAACCGTCATAAGTACAAGCCAGTTGCCAAGCCTCCCAAAATTTCATCATGTGACCATACTCAAACCAATGCTAAATAAAACATGATCAAACTATCATTGTCAGATAATGGTTGTTAAGAATGTTAGTACACGTCCGTGTAGTGTAAAAAAACTTCCCTGTGCAAACATCCTTAACAAACTAACATTTGACAATGATAGTTTAACCATGTTTTATTTAGCTATTTAGTATTGGGTTTTTTTCTGCAACGTATTCAGGTGTTTATCTAGGGGCTTCTGTTTAGGATCTCTGGCATTTAATGGTCTCAGTTTGGAAACAAGCACTCGTGAAAAGAAGGACCAGGGGAGACAGGATAGCAGCTTTCCAATATTTGAGGGGCTGCCCCAGAGAGGAGGAAGGGGGAAAGCTGTTCTCCAAAGCACCTTTGAAGGCCAGACAAGGAATAATGGATGGAAACTGATCAAGGAGAGATTCAACCTGGAAATAAGGAGGAATTTTCTGTCAGGGAGAACAATCAACCCAAGTTGCCTTCAGAAGTTGTGAGAGTTTCATCACTGGAGGCTTTCAAGAAGAGACTGGACTGCCATCTATCAGAAATGGTGTAGGGTCTTCTGCTTGGGTGGGGGGTTGGACTAGATGACCTCCAAGCTCCCTCCCAACTCTGTTAATCTGTTGTCTGTGTTGCATTTAAGAAAGTTTTTCCCTGGCTGCAAAGGTGAAAAACAAAAAAGAGTCACAGAAGGGTGAAAATATTTCTGGCTCCCCCTCGTCCCAAAATTTTTTTTATTAAAATACTCAAGTCTGGAAATACAGTTCAAGGCCAGTTCAGTCACACTGTCATGGAATTTTTTTTTATTTTTATTTATCAAATGTGTATGGATGCCCATCTCAAGGATGTCTCTAATTCATCAGATGAGACACTTCTGAATCAACAAGGATGCTCAGATTGCCTCGGAAGATGGCCACAGACAATGACAGCTAGTCCTTGTCTTATGACCATAATGGAGCCCAAAATTTGTTAAGGGAGTTCTGCCCCTTTTTACGACTTTTCTTGCCACGGTTGTTAAGTGAATCTGGCTTCCTCACTAACTTGGCTTGTCAGAAAGTTGCAAAAAGGGGATCACATGATCCCAGGACGCTAACCGTCATAAATATGAGTCAGTTGCCAAGTGTTTGAATTTAGAATCGACGATCATAAATGTGAAAAATATTTTTTAAAGACAACTTTTTTTCAGTGCTGTGGTAACTTCGGTCACTAAGCGAATGGTTGTAAATCGAGGACTGCCTGTATTTTTCCCAATTGATTCAAAAGTCACAGGTTAAATCTCACAGGATCATTTAATCTGAGCCTCAAACTCATTTCTGCATTGCTTTCAACTCAGATATGGGTCATAATTTGATTTTTTCCCCTCCTCTTTCTGGAAATATTCCTGAATCGGAATTTATCGGAAAGGAAAAGTGGGCCAGCGGTTTGAGAGTTGGCCGTTTCAGACGCAGCTCTCGGTCACTTTCTCCTTTCTGGCCCAGGCCAGTTTTGGACTACGGGGAGATCCTGGTTTGCATGCCCAGTGGACTACCATCTCTGGCCTGGGGCCGTTGCTCATGCTGGACGCCTGTCCAGAGGCCATGCGGAGAGACAGCGCTTTGGCCAACTTCTTGCTGGTCCGGTAGCGTGAAGAGCAGAAGCAATAGACGAGCGGGTCGAGGCAGGTGCTGAGGAGGCCGAAGAGGAAGAAGATGTGGCCGAGCGAAGGGGGCACCTGCTCCCGGGTCAGCATCTCGGGCGAGAACCAGTACCAGAGGCCCAGTAGGTAGTAGGGCGTCCAGCAGGCCACAAACGTCAGGACGGTGATGGCCGACATCTTCAAGGCGCGGATCCGGATTTGGGGGATGTTATTGCGTGAACAGCGCAGGTGGACCTCCCTGGATTTTGGCGACGCTGCGAGAGAAAGAAGGAGACAACGATAGAGCCATGTTTTAGGGTTATGTTGTGGCCTGTTGGCCGCCGGCCCATCCAGCAGCCGAATCGGAGAAGGAGGTGAGGGAGTCAGGGTCAGCATCAGGGCAACCTGAGAGCTCCGAGGGGGAAGAGGGAATGGAGTAGGCAGAGAGAGAGAGACAGAGGTGGAGCCTGGGCCGTCCGTCAGCCCTCAGATGGAGAGTCAAAGGTCTGGAGGTGGCTGATGAGGAAGAGGAGGAGCAGCTGGGTCCAGTGCCTGACACGTAGATGTGCAGAAGGCAGAGGAGAGGAGAGCAGTGGAAATCTATGGGCTGGTCCTTGGGACGGAAGAGCCACCGCTGCTAGTGAAGCCCCACCCTAGCTCTGGGGATAAAAGGCAGGGGGCGGAGATGAATAGATGGGGCAGACAACTATTCATCTCTCGGCCGGATGGACTTGTTAGCCTGTGGTGGGAGAGAAACTTTTTGTCGGGGCTGCTGGCGCTCCTAATAAAGGAATCATTGCTTCGACTACAGAGGGTTTGTATGGGGAGCTGGGTCAGAACAGGTTAATGATGGGTTCCTGAACAAACCAGAATTGGTTCCATTCGGAAAGGATCCCGTGCCCCAAGGAAGCCAGCTGTATCTGGATGCTATGTCCTTCAAGAGCCTAATGGTAAAGATGCCAAGATAGAAATTGGAAGACAGGAGTTCTACTTCCGCCTTGGGCATGAAAGCCAACTGGGTGACTTTGGGCCAATCACTAGGAAACGTGAGTTCTAGTCCTGCCTTGGGCATAAAAGGCAGCTGGGTGACTTTGGGCCAGCCACCAGGAGATGCTGAGTTCTAGTCTCGCCTTGGGCATGAAAGCTGGCTGGATGATTTTGGGTTAATCACTAGGTGACGTGAGTTCTAGTCCCGCCTTGGGCATGAAAGCCAACTGGGTGACTTTGGGCCAATCACTAGGAAACGTGAGTTCTAGTCCTGCCTTGGGCATAAAAGGCAGCTGGGTGACTTTGGGCCAGCCACCAGGAGATGCTGAGTTCTAGTCTCGCCTTGGGCATGAAAGCTGGCTGGATGATTTTGGGTTAATCACTAGGTGACGTGAGTTCTAGTCCCGCCTTGGGCATGAAAGCCAACTGGGTGACTTTGGGCCAATCACTAGGAAACGTGAGTTCTAATCCTGCCTTGGGCATAAAAGGCAGCTGGGTGACTTTGGGCCAATCACTAGCAGACGGTGAGTTCTAGTCTCGCCTTGGGCATGAAAGCTGGCTGGATGATTTTGGGTTAATCACTAGGTGACGTGAGTTCTAGTCCCGCCTTGGGCATGAAAGCCAACTAGGTGACTTTGGGCCATTCCTTTTCTCTCAGCCTACCTCACAGGGTTGTTGTGGATAAAAAAAAGGAAGATGGAGAACAATATTTACCATCTTGAGCTATTTGTAAAAAACCTTCTCCTTGCAGCTGACCATGCCACCCTCTGCCCTTTCCAGGGAAGCCCCCCTGCCCGCCGGTGCATGCCGAGAAGCCTCACCTGGCGCTTGGGTCATCATCCTTGACATCTCGATCAGGATGCGGGAGTAACAGAGCACCATAACCAGCAGGGGCACCAGGAAGAGGCAAGAAAAGGTGAACATGTTGTAGAGGGTTTCCTGCCAGTGTGCCCCAAAGCTGCCCACCGTGGCACATTGGATGAAATGGGTGGGCTGGGACCGGCTGGCCGTGTGGAAGACAAACATCTGCAAAAAAAAAGAAAGGCCGTTTCCCACACAAGACACACACACACAAACACAACATTAAGGTCTAGATTTCAGTTCTGGTTAGAGCAAGCCTTGAGGTAGAGTAGTGTTTCTGAAGTGTGGCCCCTTTAAGACGGGTGGACTTCAACTCCCAGAATTCCCCAGCCAGCATAGCATAGCTGGCTGGGGAATTCTGGGAGTTGAAGTCCACCCGTCTTAAAGGGGCCACGCTTCAGAAACACTGCCTTAAAATATGGTTGCCTAAACTGCATCTTCCTCATCAAATGCTGGAGTCCCTCTGAGGGAGATTTCTAAATTAGATACATGTAGATGTCAGAGAGACAAATACAGAGAGACAGGCGGAGAGTGAAACACCAGAAAGAGAGAAAGATAGAGAGACAGAGAAAGGATGGAAGGATAGATGGATTGATAGAAGCATGGATGGATAGAGGGAGGGAAAGACAGGCAGGCAGACAAGACGGAGGGAGAGATGGAAGGATAGATTGAGAGATACGTGGAGGGAGGGAGGGAGAGAGAGAGAGAGACAGATAGAGATAGGATGATAGATACGAGAAAGAGAGAAAGATACCATGGCCTACACCATTTCTGACAGATGGCAGTCCAGGCTCTTCTTGGAAGCCTCCAGGGATGAAGCTCCCACAACTTCTGAAGGCAACTTCTGTTCCATGGGTTGATTGTTCTCTCTGTCAGAAAATTCCTCCTTATTTCCAGGTTGAATCTCTCCTTGTTCAGTTTCCATCCATTCTTCCTTGTCTGGCCTTCAGGTGCCTTGGAGAATAGCTTGACCCCCTTCCTCCTCTCTGGGGCAGCCCCTCAAATATTGGAAGATGCTCTCCTGTCTCCGCTGGTCCTTCTCTTCACTGGACCAGCCAGGCCCAGTTCCTGCAACCGTTCATCATCTGTTTTAGCCTCCAGTCCCCTCATCATCCTGGTTGCTCTTCTCTGCACTCTTTCTAGAGCCTCAACCTCTTTTTTATAGTGTGGTGACCAAAACTGGATGCAGGACTCTAGGTGTGGCCTCACTAAGGATTTATAGAGTGGGATTAGTACCTCCCTTGATCTTGGTTGTATCCCTCTGTTAATGCAGCTTAGGATCGCATTGGCTTTTTTTGCTGCCACCACACACTGTTGGGTCATATTTAGCTGGTTGTCCACTAAGACTCCAAGATCCCTCTCATAGTCCCTGCTATTAAGCCTGGTTTAACTCAGTTTGTGTGGGTACTTCGCATTTTTCTTGCCTAAGTTTAAGACTTTCCTTTTCTCTACACTGAAGAGCCAAGGTGGCGCAGTGGTTAGAGTGCAGTACTGCAGGCTACTTCGGCTGACTGCTAGCTGCAGTTCAACAGTTCGATTCTGACCGGCTCAAGGTTAACTCAGCCTTCCTTCCCTCCTTCCGAGGTGGGTAAAATGAGGACCCAGATTGTTAGGGGCAAGAAGCTGACTCTGTAAACTGCTTAGAGAAGACTGTAAAAGCACTATGAAGTGGTATATAAGTCTAAGTGCTATTGCTATTGAATTTCGTTTTGTTAGATAGATATGGGTTCTACTTACCTGAGGTACTGCTAGGAGGAAACTGAGGGCCCAGGCCACACAGAGCATTGCCTTGTTCTTCCTCTTGGCTCTGCTGACCCTCAGCGGGTGCAAGATGGCTGCCCAGCGGTCCAAGCTGATCACTACCGTCACAAAGGAGCAGGCGTACATGGCCACCAGCTTGAGGAACATCAAGAGCCGGCAGGCCAGGTCGCCGGCATACCACTGAACCGTCACATTCCACACGGCATCCAGCGGCATCACCACGAAGGTGACCAGGAGGTCAGCAGCGGCCAGATTCATGAGAAGGATGCGGAGATGCGGCTTGCGTTGAAACCTCTTGGTGACGCTCCACAACATGGAGACGTTGATGCTGGTGGAGCAGAGGAAGAGGACCACGGTGAGGGCTACGCGGATTTTGGCTGCCGTGGAGAATGTGGGCAGTTGGGAGCTGGTCCTGGGAACCTCGCTCGGGCTGAAGATCTCATCCACGCTGTTGGATCTGCCATGGTCCCAGAGAGTGGCGTTCATTGGCTCGGCCAACGTCAAGGCTTCCCAAGAAAGGAAGAGCATCCTTCGCCAGAGAGGTCCATCAGCTGGACCAGGGCCTCCCACCCAGGAAGGGTCCCCTCTGGTTCTCTGGGAAGTCCTACTTTTCGAAGAGCTTGGAAGAAGCAGGAGGACATGGCTTCCTACTCAGACATAGCTGAGGAGATCATCTGATAGGAGTCCTTCTTAAAGCTGGTAGTGATTCAGGAGGTCAAGTTGACTTTGGTCTCCCACCAGAAAGATGTCCTACTTGGAAGATATCATTCTTTATTTGGGATGCTGGGTCTCCATGGCGAAAGGGGGAGGGTACCTTAGTCCACATCGGTGGCCGGGAACAGAAAAACAGTCAAGGGTGTGCCACTGTTTTGACTTCTTCTGGTGGGAGCCATCTTCAGCCTCATCCAGGGGTACTGAGGCCACACAACACACCTGCAAGGGGACATAAGCCAGCTCTCTTTTTAGTTGATTCCACCAGCCCACCCACCCCTATTTGCAAAAGTGTTGAAATCAGTGGTGGGTTGCTCCTGGTTCGCACCGGTTCGCAAGAACTGGTAGTAAAAATTTGTAGTAGTTCCGAGAACCGGTAATAACATTGGCTGGCCACGCCCCCGAACCGGTCCCTGGCCCGGTCGCCGCTCACTTACCCTGCCCACCTCATCAGAGGCTTTTTTTTTTTTTTTTTACTTTTAAAAGCATTTCCTCTTCAGCGGAAAAAATGCTTTTAAAAGTAAAAAAAAAAGCCTCTGATAATCGTGCGGCTCAGCTGGGAACGTCAGAGGCTTTTCAAAGCATTTTTTCTACAACCTCTTGGAGAAGTACTACCAAGAGCCTTGGTAGTACAGTGGTCTAAGGCACCCTGTTATTAAGCTGGTTATTAAGATCAGCTGCCTGCAATTACTGCAGGTTCGAATCTCGCCAAGGCTCAAGGTTGACTCAGCCTTCCATCCTTTCTAAGGTAGGTAAATTGAGGACCCAGTTTGTGGGGGCAATAAGCTATAAATATATTTATACAAAGGATGAAGGCTATTGCTGAGCACATTGTAAGCCGCCCTGAGTCTCCAGAGAAGGACGGCATATAAGTCAAATTTAAAAAAAAAAAAAAAAAACCCTCTTAAGGTTGTAGAAAAAATGCTTTTAAAAGTAAAAAAATAAAAAAAGTAGGCCATGCCCACACAGTCACATTACCCCCCCACCAAGCCATGCCCGCAAAATAAGCCACGCCCACAGAACCGGTAGTAAAAAGTTTTAGAACCCATCCCTGATTGAAATGCAAAGCTGGGGTGTTTCCATGGCGATGAATACCCTTCACTTCTGGACATTGTGGGGCAGGATGAAGATCAGAAGTGTCCAACCTTGGCAACCTTAAGACCTGTGGACTTCAACTCTCAAAATTCTGGGAGTTGAGGTCCAGCAGATTCTGAGAGTTTGAAGTCCACGAGTCCACCAAAGAAGTCCACAAGACTTGGGGACTTCAAATCCCAGAATTCCCCAGCCAACCATACTGGCTGGGGGAATTCTGGGCATTTAAGTCCACAAGCCAAGATTGGACACCCCTGATGTAGATGTAGGTTGAGGAGCTTTTAGGAAACATGGTTAATCTCTTGCTTGGAAGAGAGTCTGCAGTTTTTCATAATAAAATTTGAAAAGGAAGAAGATCCGGTTGAAGAATGTACAATAAAGTGGGCGAAGGATATTGGTTATAATATGCAGATGGATCGGTGCAGGGGTGGGTTCTAAAAATTTGTTACTACCGGTTCTGTGGGCGTGGCTTGGTGGGTGGGTGGGTAATGTGACTGGGTGGGCGTGGTCAACTTTTTTTTTTTTTACTTTTAAAAGCATTTTTTCTACAACCTTAAGAGGTTGCAGAAAAAAATGCTTTTAAAAGCCTCTGATGATCAGGCAACTCAGCTGGGATTGCCAGAGGCTTTTTTTTTTTTATTGCAAAAGTTTTACAATTACATTTTCACCCCTTTTTTCCCCCCCCACCCCCCCAAACTTCCCAACCTCCCTAACCCTCCCTAACCCTCCCCTCCCCCCAGACTTCCCTATAATATACTCATACTCATAAAGAACCCTAATATAACACTTATATATAAACTTGAACCCCTCCCTCCCCTGTATAATTTTTCTCTTTACCTCATTACATTAAAAAATTTCCAATACATTATTTTCAAATAAAAGCTATTTGATACTTTCTAGTTTGATATTTGTTCTGAACGTATTCTATCCACCTTTTCCATTCCCACTCATAAGTCTCTTGTGAACAGACTTTTAAATATGCTGAAATCTTCGCCATCTCTGCAAAACTGGCCATCTTCAAAGTCCATTCCTCGATAGTGGGCAAAGCTTCATTCTTCCAGTATTTACCTATCAACAATCTTGCTGCTGTTATCATATACAATATCAATTTTGTTTCACCCAATGTAAAACCCTTAACTATACCCAATAAAAACAGTTGTGGAGAAAATTGAATTTTTTTCCTCAAAACATTCTGCATGACCCACCAAATTTTTATCCAAAAAGCCTTAACTTTCTTACAGGTCCACCAAACATGATAATACGTAGCATCCAAACATTCACATCTCCGCCAGAGGCTTTTAAAGGCATTTTTTTTCAGCCAAAGAAGCCGTAGAAAAAATGCATATAAAAGTTTAAAAAAAAGCCTCTGATGAGGTGGGCAGGGCAAGTGAGTGGCGACCAGGCTGGGGACCGGTTTGGGGGCGTGGCCAGCCAATGTTATTACCAGTTCTCCAAACTACTACAAATTTTTACTACCAGTTCTTGCGAACCGGTGCGAACCGGGAGCAACCCACCACTGGATCGGTGGGAAAATTTGTGGTTCAAACTGTTCTGACCTAGGCTTCCTGATATAGTAAAAAGCACACAATTAGTCCCAAAAACCTTTTTTTAAAAAATTTTAACGGCTGTGAATTCCTTTCATTCACAGCACGTGCTGAATCACCAAGAGTTTATGGATAGTCCAACAGAAGTCTGCCACAGACCTTTGGATAAGGCTGGTAAACACCCACCTTTATCTTCTTCGACATGTTGCCAAAGACCTAATTGGTAATTATCTTGGCAAGGCCACATGGAAACACAGAGTCAAAAATGGAGCTTCAAAGTACAAAATGACACCATCGACAACGTTGCTTCCTGCAAAGGCCTACGTGCCTTTGCTCGTCCTTTATGTCTTATGGGAGGGGCCAATCATCTCCAAGCCTTACTCCCGAGTCGTCCCTTTTGTTTTAACTGTTCTTGCCTTCTGGCAGCTCTGTGCATGCATGCACTAGGAACAGGCTCCCCCTGTTCCTCTGCCTCTCTGATGTCAGACTCTGGAGGCTCCGGAGTCCGCACGTAACTCCCTGGCCCCATCTCTGCCTCTGACGCAGAGCCCTCGTCTGGGCCTTCCTCAGCCTCCAGGACTGGCCCATGTTCTTCCTCAGCCTCATCGCTGTCTGACTCTGCTGCCAACTTTGCAGGCTGCTGGCGGACCACAACAACTGTATCTATCTATCTATCTATCTATCTATCTATCTATCTATCTATCTATCTATCTTATCTATCTATCTTCTACAGTATCTATCATCTGTCTGTCTGTCTGTCTATCTCTATCTTCTACAGTATCTATCATCTATCTATCATCTATCTATCTTCTATCTTTCTTTCTATCTATCTATCTCTATCTTCTACAGTATCTATCATCTATCTGTCTGTCTATCTCTATCTTCTACAGTATCTATCATCTATCTATCTCTTCTACAGTATCTATCATCTGTCTGTCTGTCTATCTGTCTGTCTCTATCTTCTACAGTATCTATCATCTATCTATCTATCTATCTATCTATCTATCTTCTACAGTATCTATCATCTGTCTGTCTGTCTATCTCTATCTTCTACAGTATCTATCATCTATCTATCTTTCTATCTTTCTATCTATCTATCTCTATCTTCTACAGTATCTATCGTCTATCTGTCTATCTATCTGTCTGTCTATCTCTATCTTCTACAATATCTATCATCTGTCTGTCTGTCTCTGTCTATCTCTACCTTCTACAGTATCTATCATCTATCTATCTTTCTATCTTTCTTTCTATCTATCTATCTCTATCTTCTACAGTATCTATCGTCTATCTGTCTATCTATCTGTCTGTCTGTCTATCTCTATCTTCTACAATATCTATCATCTGTCTTTCTGTCTGTCTGTCTATCTCTACCTTCTACAGTATCTATCATCTATCTATCTCTATCTTGTACAGTATCTATCATCTATTTATCTATCTAACTTCAAAGGGCTGAAATTTATTTCACCGTACGATCTTAGCAAGGAGTTTTATCCAACAATGCGTCATTGGGGTATGGACCCCAGAGAAATGATCTACAATTTATCAAGGCCCTTCAAATGCAAGTAATCCACCACTTACGACTATTAAGGCTTTAAGTTGTAAAATGAGTTGGTCCTGTGACTGACCTGACTTTATTACATTTTTTTGTGGTGGCCTAGTCATAAAAGACAAGGAAGTAAGACAAGTATGAGGACTTCTGCTGTGGGCAAGGGGGTGGACTAGAAGACCTCCAAGTTCCCTTCCAGCGCTAAGTTTCTATGATTCTATGACTACAGGTAGTTCTCAACTTACAACAGTTCATTTAGTGACTGTTCAAAGTTACAACTGGGAAAAAAAATGACTATTTTTCATACTGATGTGAATCTTATAGCATCCCCGTAATCACAGGATCAAAATTCAGATTGATTCTTGGCAACTGGCTCATACTTATGACCGTTGCTATGTCCCAGGTCATGTGTGATCCGCTTTTGTAACCTTCTGACAAGCAAAGTTAATGGGGAAACCAAATTCATTTAAAAACCGTGTTACTCACTTAACAGCTGGCAGGGATTCCCTTAGCAAACGTGGCAAGAAAAGTCATAAAATAAGCAAATCGCTTAACGAATGTCTCACTTAATAACATAAAGTTTGGGCTTAACTGAGGTCGTAAGTCAAGGACTTCTTGTATATGATTACTGCTGTGAGATTACAGCACAATTGAGCCCAGAATTTATGTTGCTCAGTAAGAAATTTGTTAAGTGAGTTTTGCCCCATTTTACGATTTTTTTTATTGCCACGTTTGTTAAGTGAATCACTTCCAGTCGTTAAGTGAGTAACACGGTTTTTAAATGAATCTGGTTAACTGAATCACTGCAGTTAGTCTCACGGTTGTTAAGCGAATCCAGCTTCTCCATTGACTTTGCTTGTCAGAAGGGGATCACGTGACTCCGGGACACTACAGCCGTCATGGGGATGTGTTGTGGCCTCTCGGCTGCGGACTCTCCGGCTGCTGAATCAGAGGAGGAGGAGGAAGAGGAGGAGGCGTGGGAGTCAGGATCAGCATCAGGGCAACCTGGGAGCTCTGAAGGGGAAGAGGGAATGGAGGTG